CTCCTTCTTCTTCTTCTTCATACATGACAACAGAATATATACAAATGGAGCACAAATTTTTATTTCTCTGGTTATACACAATGTAGAGTCACACCGTTGGTGTAATCATACATGCACCTGGGGTAATGATACCCATCTCATTCCACCATCTTTTTTACCAGCCGCCCACTTCTCTCCCCTCACTCCTTTCTTAATCAAAAGTTCCCCTATTCTTTCCAAGCCCCACCCCCACCATTATGGATCAGCATCCACTTCTCAGAGAAAACATGTGGCCTTTGGTTTTGGGGGATTGGCTTACTTCACTTAGCATGATATTCCCCAACTCCATCCATTTACCTGCAAATGCCATAATTTTATTCTCTTTTATTGTTGAGTAATATTCCATTGTGTATATCTACCACAGTTTCTGTATCCAGTCATCTATTGAAGGGCATCTAGATTGGTTCCAGAGTTTAGCTATTGTGAATTGAGCTGCTATAAACATTGATCTGGCTGCACCACTGTAGAATGATAATTTTAAGTTCTTTGAGTATAGACCGGGGAGTGGGATAGCTGGGTCAAATGGTGGTTCCATCTAAGTTTTCTAAGGAATCTCCATACTGCTTTCCAGAGTGGTTACCAATTTGCAGTGCCACTAGCAATGTATGAGTGTACCTTTTTCTCCAAATCCTCACTAACACATATTGTTGCTTGTACTCTTGATAATTGCCATTCTGAATGAAGTGAGATGAAATCTTAGGATAGTTTTGATTTGTATTTCTCTAATTACTAGAAATGTTGAACATTTTTCATATATTTGTTGATTGATTATATATCTTTTGTGAGAAATGTCTGTTCAGTTCCTTAGCCCATTTATTGATTGGGTTATTTATTTTTTTGGTATTATGGTTTCTGAGTTCTTTATATATCCTGGAGATTAGTACTCTATCTGATGTGCATGTGGTAAAGGTTTTCTCCCACTCTGTAGGCTCTCTCTTCACATTATTGTTTCCTTTGCTAAGAAGAAGCTTTTTAGTTTGAATCCATCCCATTTATTGATTCTTGATTTTATTTCTTATGTTTTAAGAGTGTGGTTAAGGAAGTCAGGACCTAATCTGACATGATGAAGATATGAGCCTACTTTTCTTCTATTAGGCACAGAGTCTTTGGTCTAATTTATAGGTCCTTGTTCCACTTTGAGTTGAGTTTTGTGCAGGGTAAAGGATAGGGATTTAATTTCATTTTGCTGCATATGGTTTCCAGTTTTCCCAGTACCATTTGTTGAAGAGGCTATCTTTTCTCCAATGTATGTTTTTGGTGCCTTTGTCTAATATGAAATAACTGTATTTATGTGGGTTTGTCTCTGTGCCTTCCAGTCTGTACCATTGGTCTCCATGTCTGTTTTGGTGCCAATAGCATGCCATTCTTGTTATTCTAACTTTATAGTATAGTTTAAGATCTGGTATTGTGATACCTCCTACTTCACTCTTCTTGCTAAGGATTGCTTTGGCTATTCTGAATCTCTTATTTTTCCAAATTAATTTCATGATTGCTTTTTCTATTTCTCTGAAGAATGTTGTTGAGATTTTAATTGGAATTGCATTAAATCTGTATAATGCTTTTGGTAGTATGACTATCTATTTTATTTTATTTTTTTAGTTGTTGATAGACCTTTATTTTATTCAGTTATTTATATGTGGTGTGGAGAATTGAACCCAGTGCCTCACACATGCAAGCAGGCGCTCTATTGCTGAGCCACAACCCCAGCCCAGTATGACCATTTTGACAATATTAATTCTTCCTATCCAAGAACATGGGAGATCTTGCCATACTTCTACTTCTTCAATTTCTTTTTTTAATGTTCTATAGTTTTCCTTGTAGAGGTCTTTTACCTCTTTTGTTAGATTGATTCCCAAGGGTTATTGTTTTTTTTTTAAAGACTCTGTTTTGAATGTTTACATCTGTTAGCTAGCCCCAGAATTTATTCTAACTCGAGTTTTTTATTCTTTTTTTAGATTTTTAAAAAATATTTTTAGTTGTAGATGGACACAATACCTTTATTTTTTTATGTGCTGCTAATGATGTAACACAGGTCAGCATGTTGATTCTAATATGTATCCGCAGTGCTTTTCTAGGTCCCAAAGACCTTTTTCCATATAAGGAATACAAAGACAAGTTTGGGAAGTCAAACAAACGGAAAGGATTTAATGAAGGATTGTGGGAAATAGAAAATAACCCAGGAGTCAAGTTTACTGGATACCAGGTAATGGTTATTTAATTGTCACTTGCTTTACCTCATTTCTTTGGTTTTAATACGTTTCAAATTTTTTAAATTTACCCATCCATTTGAAGTCAGAATTCTTTGGCTCTAGTAGTATTTTGGATTAAATACAATTCATCCAGAGGACTACTGAAAAATTGAGTTTGACAACCATTTATTGGTTATTTGATGGAGGCAGGGTCTCACTTTGTTGCCTAGTCTGGCCTCCAACTACTGGGTTCAAGAGATTCTCCTGGCTCTTATAGCCTTTTCTTTTGAAAATCTTATGAATAAACTGAACCCTTTCAGATTAAAATAGAGTGATTTTTGTCACAGTCTGTGTTTCTTTCTATTTTTTAAAAATGTAATTAGCCAATATTTTTCCTTAGGCAATTCAGCAACAGAGCTCTTCAGAAACTGAGGGAGAAGGAGGAAACACTGCAGATGCAAGTAGTGAGGAAGAAGGTGATAGAGTAGAAGAAGATGGAAAAGGCAAAAGAAAAAATGAAAAAGGAGGCTCAAAACGGAAAAAGTCATACACATCAAAGGTACTGACAAACTCCCCATTGTTATTGTTACATATATATTCATTAAAAAGTTTTTAGATTATTTTATATTCATTTCTTGGGCACATAGATATATACTCCAGATTCTGTGGAACCTCTCCCTTTAGAGACAATATACATAGAGCAGAGGGACTGTGACAGGTAATTTTAGATGTTAGGCAATCTGGCTATTGATTCTTTAGGGCTCACTTGGCCCTGAAAATACCACCTTAGTTGGAGGAGAACTGTTCCTTAGTTAAGGATATAGTGTATAAATAGCTATGCCTCCTACAATGACTTTGAAACAAGATCTGAGCAATTTAAGAATATAAGAGACACATTACGTTTCAATACTATATATGTAAATATAAAGATATATTCTTACTTGTCTTTCTGTTTCAGAGAATGTGCTTTGACCTTTTTATTTATTCAATTCTTATATTTCCTGATCACCTAGTCTGTTCCAGACACTGAACTAAGTGGACAGTGGTGAGCAAATCCAACTCCATCCCTGCCCTCATGTAACTTATAATAGTAAATATAAACTGTGAAAGGTTATGAAAGAAATGAATGGTTGCAAGGAGTGACAGAGTAGGGAAATCTACTTTAGGTCCTTCTATAAAGGTAAAGTTTATGCTGAGACCTAAAAGAAGGGTATGGGAGGAAGAAAGGAGCCATATGTGGCAGAAGGAAAGGAATAGCAGCAAAACTTTGAGGAAGGGAAGAATTCAGTATTCCTAAACTGAAAGAAGGCAAGTGCTATTGGAGAATCATGACTATGTAGGAAAGTGCCCACTTGTAAGCCATATTATGGAGTTTGGATTTTATTCCAATTATAATAATAATTGAAGATTTTAAACAACAGTAGCATAATAATGTATTTACAAATTCAAAGTCTAGGTTTTTTCACAGTAATTCAGAAATGCAGTTGAAAAAACCAAAACTGTGAAAACTACACATTTTAGAAACTGAAAAAGCGAGATAAATGGATCCTTAAAGATCCAAGATTGGTTCAGGTTTCAGTCACACAGCTAAATACTTGGAAAAATTACTTCCACTTAGATTCTTGTACTTAGGAAACTCCTTAAAACAAATATCAAGAGGGCTAGGGTTGTGGCTCAGTGGCAGAGCACTTGCCTCACACATGTGAGGCACAGGGTTCAATCTCCAACACCACATAAAAATAAATAAACAATGGGGCTGGGGATGTGGCTCAAGCGGTAGCGCGCTCGCCTGGCGTGCGTGCGGCCCGGGTTCGATCCTCAGCACCACATACAAAAAACAAAGATGTTGTGTCCGCCGAGAACTAAGAAAAATAAATAAATAAATATTAAAATTCTCTCTCTCTCTCTGTCCTGTCCCCCTCTCTCTCTCACTCTCTCTTTAAATAAATAAATAAATAAATAAATAAATAAATAAATAAACAAAATATTGTGTTTATGTATAACTTTAAAAATATTAAAAGAAAAAACAAGTACCAAGAGTTAAGCAGACTCTTAACATTTTATTTTGACAGTCCCTAAAATCTACCCTATTGACATACAGGTAAAATTTTGTGAATTCAGCATTACTTACCGTGAACCTAGTGAAAAACATGCAGTTGCTTTGAGTGAGGGTAATGTTTGCAACTGACAACAAAATAATTAGCATTTTCCCTGTTCCTGTCAGACTATATCTTCCATTGCAGTTATTTTTAAACTGAATTTCTTTCAGCATTTTGAACTTTTTTTTTATTATTACACCTATACAGCACAATTTTTCATATCTGGTTATATATAAAGTATGGTCACACCAATCTGTATCTTCATACCTATATTTTGGATAATGATGTCCATCACATTACACCATCTTTGCTAACCCCCTGCCCCCTCCATTCCCCTCCCACTCCTCTGCCCTATCTAGAGTTCATCTATTCCTCCTATTCTCCCCCTCCCTACCCCACTATGAATCAGCCTCCTTATATCAGAGAAAACATTCAGCATTTGTTTTTTTGGGGATTGGATAACTTCACGTAGCATTATCTTCTCCAACACCATCCATTTACCTGCAAATGCCATGATTTTATTCTCTTTTATTGCTGAGTAATATTCCATTGTGTATATATGCCACATTTTTTTATCCTTCCATCTACTGAAGGGCATCTAGGTTAATTCCACAGTTTAGCTCTTATGAATTGTGCTGCTTTAAACATAGATATGGCTGTGTCCCTGTAGTATGCTGTTTTTAAGTCCTTTGGGCATAGACTGGGGAGAGGGATAGCTGGGTCAAATGGTGGTTCCATTCCCAGTTTTCCAAGGAATCTCCATACTGCTTTCCATATTGGCTGCACCAGCTTGTAGTCCCACCAGCATTGTATGAGTGTACGTTTTTCCCCACACTCGCCAACACTTATTATTTGTTTGTCTTCATAGTAGCTGCCATTCTGACTGGAGTGAGATGATATCTTAGAGTAGTTTTGATTTACATTTCTCCAATTGCTAGCGATGATGAACTTTTTTCATATATTTGTTGATTGATTATATATCTTCTTCTGAGAAGTGTCTGTTTAGGTCCTTGGTCCATTTATTGATTGGCTTATTTTTTTTTTGCTGATTAGCTTTTTGAGTTCTTTATATACTCTAGAGATTAGTGCTCCATCTGATGTGTGAGTGTTAAAAATTTGCTCCCAAGATGTAGGCTCTCTATTAACCTCACAGATTGTTTTTGTTGTTGTTGTTGTTTTGCTGAGAAGAAACTTTTTAGTTTGAATCCATCCCATTTATTGATTCTTGGTTTTAATTCTTGCACTATTAGGAGTCTTATTAAGGAAGTTGAGGCCTAAATCCCACATGATGAAGATTAGGGCCTACTTTTCCTTCTGTTAGATGCAGTTTCTCTGGTTTAATTCCTAGGTCCTTGATCCACTTTGAGTTGAGTTTTGTGCATGGTGAGAGATAGGGGTTTAATTTCATTTTGTTGCTTATGGATTTCCAGTTTTCCTAGTACCACTTGTTGAAGAAGCTATTTTTTTTCTCCAATGCATGTTTTTGGCACCTTTGTATAATATCAGATAATTGTAATTTTGTGGGTTAGTCTCTGTGCCCTCTATTCTGTACCATTGGTCTAGCAGTCTTTTTTGGTGCCAATACCATGCCGGTTTTGTTACTATTGCTCTGTAGTATAGTTTAAGTTCTGGTATAGGGATACCACCTGCTTTACTCTTCCTGCTAACGATTGCTTTAGCTATTCTGGGTCTCTTATTTTTCCAGATGAATTTCATGATTGCTTTTTCTATTTCTATAAGGAATGCCATTGGTATTCTGATAGGAATTTCAATAAATCTGTATAGTATTTAATTTCATTAAATCTGTATCTGGTAGTATGGTCATTTTGATAGAATTAGAGCAAGGTAGATCTCTCCATCTTCTAAGATCTTCTTTGACTTCTTTCTTTAGGGTTCTGTAGTTTTCATTGTATAGATCTTTCACCTCTTTCATTAAGTTGATTCCCAAGTTTTGGTTTTTTTGTTTGTTTGTTTGTTTGTTTGTTTGAGGCTGGCTCTCAAAACCCAAAGCCCGAAGTTCTAGCCCACGTTGGGCTCATGAGCGCCTTAGCAGAATCACCTATCAGCACCTCTGCAGCATTTTGGACTTAAAACATCTACTTGAATTGACTTTATTTAATTTATGATTGACTGCTGAGCCTCTTTGTAATGTATTGTGACAACTCTTTGTTACCTAAGTTTGTCTAGACTTTTAACATTATGGATATGTGGCTTTTAAATTCCACTGCATAATTGCTTGTTGCAAAGACCAAAAGTAATATAAGGGCTCATCCTTGGAACACATTTACAGTTTAAAACAGTGTAGGGGTGAATACATACTTTACTTACTAAGACTTACCTGTTTTAAAGGAGCATTTAATTTGCTTTGCCTCAAGAACATGATTTCCATGATCACTTAAGAACCATGACTTTTTTTTTTCCTTGTGGTGCTGGAGACCTAACCAAGGGCTTCCACATGTTAAGAAGGTGGTCTACCACTAAACTACATCTCCATCCCAGAACTATTACTTTTTGGTTTGATTCTCAAATTTTCACATACATCAGAATCACGTGGAAGACTTTTTAAAATGATATTATTAGATCTTACACATCCCAGATTTCTATTATGGAAATCTAGGATAGGGACTGGAAATCAAATTTCCGGGTGAGGCTGATGCTGCTAATCTGGGAGCCATACTTAAAGAACTATTTATCTAATATAATCCCATTTTTCTCTTTGGCTTCCCAAAGGTTTTCTTTTTGCTTAATATGGTGGGGGTTTCCCCACACACACATATTTATCTCTTAATGTTATATAGTGTTCCTTTTTAAAAACTAGTAGTTCAAAACTTTTTTTATTACATCCCAGTTAGGTACCTCACCTAATTTCATTTGGGGTTGGGGGGAAGCTCAGTAATCATAATGAAAAGTAATAGATTTGAGGGTTTTATATATATATATATATCTTTAGCAGTAAGAATATGGATGCTTCATATTTGGGCCATAACAAAATTATAGGTCAAAAACGTTTTGCATATAAATGATTTACTGAATACATTAGGGCTTATCAACTGCAACTAAACTGATGAAGACTAAAGTACCAATAATTTTAGTTAACAAGTAAAGATAGCAGCAGTTGGACAAAAGATCAGTTCGAGACCACATTGATAAAACACATGATAAACACTGATTTAAAAAACAAATTTTCAGGAATTCTGGGGATCCAAAGAGCTTTGCTGGTTTGGCAGCCAGATTTCTTAGAACAGATTTCTGAATATTGTGACTCAGTAGTAAAAGTCTAGTAGACTCACTTATAAGGTTACTCATAAATATCCTCTACAAGTATTGCAGATTTCAAGGAGTTGTACATTTTTATCTGTAAGCACTGCAGGTTATTATTTGAGAATTACTGTATGAAGCAGTTACCATATTTCAACAATACTATATTTATTAAAGCAAAACGTGTTTTATGTTTGCTGTTTTTATACTTAATCCTTAAGTCTAGACAGTCCACATATGTATTATTAAATCTCCTTCCCTTAATAAAAAAATTAAAATGACCACATTTTAACTGACATTTGGATTTGGTTGGTAGTTCCAATTTAGAAAAATAGAAGCAATTTGATTATATATTTTGTCACATAACTAGAAGGCATTTTCTCTTTAGAAATTGCTTTTTAAAAAATTGATTGTGTGAGGATGCTCCATCTTGCCAGTTCACTTCTGGAAGACCAAAAGTGATTTGGCTAAATCAGTTTTGCTAAGCTCTTATTTCAATGGGCTTGACAATTCTTAAAATCTCTTGAAGAAGAAGTGTTAGAAAAATGCTACATTTTACTGTCTTAAATAAGGCACACAATTGAAGCCAGCTTTTTATCATTTTATCCTACTAAGAATCTTGCTATAAACTGTATTTATATTTTTATTTTTGTCTACAGTTATCCTGACTTTAAATGCAAGATGACATATAAAAAGGACTGGTTCACCATTACAGCCTTGGGTTCCTAAATAACTAACCATGGTTTAAAAATTAAAGTTTGTTTCTATCACTCATTGGTACAAATATTCTAACATGAATGTCCATATATTATTTTGAAAAGTTCACTCACTTCTCTTGTCCTCATTTTCACTACTGTAAAGTGATGAGCAGAACTAGATTGCCTTTAGGGTTCCTTTAGGTTCTGTAGCCTTCCTAAAATAGTGTCCACACAGCAATATTTATTCATTGACTGTTGAGTGTATACAAATCTGCTTTTAATATCACACTTGTGTAAAGAACTAAGATCTTCTAGCTCACCTCTACTTCCCTTTCCAACTAGTTAATTGAGGTAAAATGACTTGTCCAGTATTATTAAGCCTAGGCACCCTACATATTGTAGCTCATACAATGCTGCTATCTTTGTGTCTTTTATGTACACTTGTGCATTTGGATTTCTGCTTTTGACTATAATTTTTAACTTGTCTAAACATTTAGAAATCCTCTAAACAATCCCGGAAATCTCCAGGAGATGAAGATGATAAAGACTGCAAAGAAGAAGAAAACAAAAGCAGCTCTGAGGGTGGAGATGCCGGCAATGACACAAGAAACACAACTTCAGACTTGCAGAAAACCAGTGAAGGGGTAAGGATGGATACACACATAATTTCTTCTTTTAACATAGAAGACATTTTGCTTCAGTAGTATCTCAGCATTAGTAGACATTGTGTTAGGAAATGGAGAGCTATTCTCAGCTTGCTACATACATCCTTTCACAAATCCTGAATAAATGATGGGATGCTTAGAGTCTTCGAATGAGAGTCGAGTGTGAATTACACCTGCCTGTCAGTTTGGAATTCCTTACAGATTTATTCTTTTTCAAACTAACATAGAAAATTCAGAGTCTTTTTTTTCTCCCCCAGAGTCTTTTTAAAGTACTTAACTGAAATTATGAAATTTGACAGCTGTATTTTTTTTACTAAATCAGTGACATGTTCAGAATAGTATATTACATATTTTTGCTGCTTTGCTAGAAGCAGTAAGTAATTGAATGTACCGGTAGGGACTCTAAATATTTAAATATTCAAGCAGTATTTGAATGTTGATATTTAACTTCATCACAAGCAAATGCACATTTGTAAAATTGGTAATAAAAGCAGAGTTTGCACCTACATATTTTCCATGAGCATTTTCTCTATGCAGACTAGTTGGACAGTATCAAATTATTTTAAAATAGTAACCCACTGAAAATATTACTCCTCTGGTTTCAGCTGAGTTCTTGCCTATTCATGTCAGTCTGTTCACCTCTCAACTTTCCTTCTTCATTCCAGTTTTCTATAATTATTCTCAAGAATATTGTGGTTCTAATTGTTCTCTTATTCCTTTCACCCAGCTCAGCCTTCCTCTGTTTTCTATCTGCCTTCCTTCTCTTGATGTCTCTCTAGTAAATAGTCCTATCATTACCTTTGCCTGCATCCTTTCCAGATGCATGCACCTGCCAACAATCACAGAATTTGAATATCTGGCTCACTTGATTTTCTTTTTATCCTACCTGCTCTTTTCATCCCAGGTAGCTTCAATATGCATGTAGCAAAAACACACAGTTTCTCTCCCTCTTTGCTTCCAAACTTATTTCTGAGTTTGATGAACTTAATGGACTTCTTGTGAAAGGGGAAAGGTTGTTCTATTCCTTTACTATTCAGAGTATGGTCTCTGAACAATTAGCATCAACATCACCTGGGAACTTATTAGAAATGTAGATTCTCCCAAACTCTGAATTAAAATCTGCATTTAAACTAAAGCTTTTCCAAATAATTCATATACACATTAAAGTTTGAGAAACATTAATCCACACCTTTCCAGGGTCCAAAATATCATTTCTTCCTTCCTCCAAGATACTAAATTGTCCCCTTTCTCTCCTATATACTTTCATCTTCATTTCTGTTGGCTCCTTCCCCTCTGCATATAAGCAGTCTCAGGTCTCCCTTAATCTTGAAGATAGCTCCTACCAGCCAAATATTGTACTCTTTTCATCTCTAAACTTCTTAAAAATAGTTCTCTTTTTCTCCCAGTCTCCATTTCATGACCTCCTACTCATGAAAACCTATTGCACTCTTGTTTCTTCTTTTTTTTTTTTTTCCTCTCTACTGATACTAAGATTTGAACACAGGGGTACTTTACCACAGAGCTTCATACCCAGTCCTTATTATTTTTTATTTTTAAGAGGGTTTCACTAAATTGCTGAGATTGTCATCAAACTTGGGTTGCTGACATTACAGATGTGCGCCACCATGCCTGGCTCTTGTTTCTTCTTTAACCAGTTTGTCGAAGCTGCTGTTGGAAAGGTCTCTCGTGGTTCTCTCTTTGCCAAATCTAGTATGCCCTTTAAATTAATCTTCATTTTTACTTCTGTAGCATTTAATATCATAAAGTAATTTCTACTCCTAACTTTTCCTCCAGTTAACCAATCTCTTCTGCTTTCTCTCCCTCTTCCTTCTCAGTGTCTTTCTAGAGCTCCTTGCTTCAGTCTGTCTTAGCATACTTGTATACTGAAGATCTCCCATATTCATCTTACCCACTGACATGATTTCAGTTGTTGTGTTATTGATAACTTTCTGTTCTATATCTCCTGCATTGTAGATATATTTTTCTAACTGCTGTTTCTACTTGAATATCTTGAAAGCACCTCAGAAAATACTAGTTGCTACTTGACAGCAATAGCAACCTATGTGCTACATGCTGTGCCAACCGCCTTACTTGTATTATTTTATTTATTCCTCATACAAACCCCAGGAGGTAGGTGTGTAAGCATTGTCTTGAATTTTTTAGCTGGAGAAACTAAAGCTGAAAGAATCAGCCAAGGGTCTCATAGCTAGTAAGAACGAAAGAACATTTCATTTTTAACTCATAATAATATAGCTGTTACATAAAAGAATATGTATGTTTGTGTCTATGTGTATATATGTATATATTAAATATGTTACAAAGCATAATATTTTTATAATAAATATCAGTGACCATATCACTCAACCCAAAAACATTAGAGTTAATTTGTATATATTTAAGTGTTCTTTCCAGTCCCATCTTCTTGTCCAGAAAGAACACTACTGTATTGATTTTTTGTTTTTAATTTTAGTCCATACCTACCATGTACATACATATTTAAACAATATATTCTTTTAAAAATCAATTAATTTTGCTTGGTTTTGAACTTTTAAAAAATAAAGATACTTACCACTGTACTTTTAAGATTCCTTCATGTTATTATATGTGGCAGGAGGTGATTCAGTTTTCATTGTTGTATAAGATTTAGTTTTGTGGTGGCTGGGGTGTGGCTCAGCAGTAAAGTGCTTGCCTCCCACATATGAGGCACTGGGCTCGATCCTCAGCACCACATTAAAAAAAGTAAACAAACAAAATAAAGACTGTGTCCATGTACAACTAAAAAATATTTAAAAAAAAAAAAGATTTAGTTTTGCGAGCACACCACAGTTTATTTATGCACTCTGGTGTTGATGGGCATTTGGGTTGTTTCCACGTTTTTGCAGATAAGAACTATGTTGCTATAAGCATTTTTATTTTGTCTCCTAGTGAAATAAGAGTTTCCTTATAGTGGGTAACTGGAACTGAAAGTACTAACTTTATGGTTTTTTAATTTTACAAGATAATACCAAATTACCTTCCCTGGGCCAATTTGTACTCCCATCAGCAGTGTATAAGAGTTCACCATAATTAACTTGGCATTGTCAGACTTTGGTTTTTGCCAATACTGTGGGTATAAAATGATCATTATAGTGTTAATTTGTAGTTTTCTGATTAGTAATAAGATTGTGCTTATTTTCATGTTTATTGATTCACCAATGTTTGCTCTCTATGCAGTGTTCATTTTTTAAATTTTTTTCCCATTTTCCCATTAGGTTTTTTTTCTTATTGATTTGTAGGGCTTTGCATATTCTAGATTCTAACATGAATTGTCACATACCTCACAGATATCTTCTCCAAGTTTGTGTCTTGTCTATTCAACTTCTTTATGATCTTTTACAAAACATACTTTCTTAATTTTATTGTAGTCAACTGTATCAAACTTTTCTTTAATGGGTACTATTTTTCTGTCTTGTTTAAACATGCTTAACCATTTAAGCCAGCATCATTTGTTGAATGGTCCTTTTTTTTCCCTCTGTGATCTATACATTGTCATCTGTCATATAGCCATGGGACTCTCTCGCTCCTCTATTCTGTTCTTTTGGTCAATACCTACTCTCTTCATTATAGTAAGAGGCCCTAATATAGTAATATTAGGGCTATTAGCCTAATATTAAATATTTTTTGAGTACTTAATAGTCATGGTCTGGGATGTCAAGAGGGACTTTTTTCTAATGTAGAATTTACAGCACCTGTGCCAGAAGAATGATCAAAGTGAGGAATTACCACAAAATGTTAATGTAAGAAATAATTGTTGATACAGTGTCCTCTATTTAGAAGGCAAAAAGACATAAGATCTAGTACACATAGGAAGGGGTTGCCATAGGTCATCTATTGAAACAAGAGGAAAAGGCAGAGAATTTGAGCACAGATACAGGTAAGTAGATATTCAGGGTGAGAGGTCATTCAAGTTCTGATGTGATTGCTTCTATATTCTGAAGAAGCAAGGTCAGCACTTGAGAGTGAGAACAAGGAAAAGTGTTGAAAGATTCAAGAGAAAGGAAAAGGTGTAAAATAGTCACTTAGAAGAATAGGAGAGTGAATGGACTTGAGAAATGAAGTTCTGACAGACAGAGGTAAGGGCCCGCTGGAGGCTAGTGATCATGAATTTAAAGTGAGAGCAGTGATTATATAATTGTGTGTTTCTCTCCAGGTGTATTCCAGTTATGCACAGAACAGAGAATTGAATTTAACTAGAATTGGAATTTGCCAAGAGATTAAAGTACAGGAGGTTAGAGGCCAGGGAGTTGAAGATGTATACAAGGGAGATTGATTATAATCATTGGATTCAAACTATGTTAAATGGGGAATATGGACATAAAGAAGAGATAAGATCAACAATTTTTTGTATCAAATTATTAGAGTTAAAATACCAGATACAGGGAGTGAGCTGGAAATATAGGTGGTAATAGAAGAATAAAATGTTTGAGTCAAATTATAGAAGGGTTGCAATAGTTTCTGGTGACAGTGTGGGTGCTGTTGATATTTTATGAGTGGGACAATCTATCATGTGAGCACTAACCACACCATAGAGCCCCTATAGTCTTGACTCCTATCCATTGATTGCTAGTAGGAACCCCTAAGTTCAACATGAAATGTTCCTCTATAACCTTGTTCACGAAACAGTGCTTTAATAGAATATTTATAAAAACTCCCAGTGGCTGCAAATCACTTTCTAAGAACTAACCATGGAAGTCACTGAGGTAGGGTAGAAGATAAGATCTTTGAAGGGAGGACACCAAGAAATCAAGAGACCAGAGTGTTGAAAAATGATCTACATGGCCATTGAAATTATAGAAGTTATGACATTGAATGACAGTGGGCCGAAGCTAAAACTTCAAGGTGAAGGATGAATAATCCAGGGACTCTGTAGTTATGTATCAAGGAATTACTTATAGTCATTCAGTGGGAATGAAAGCTGGGAGGATTTTTTTTTTCAGGGGAGAACAGAAAAGAGGAAGAATGGCTTATAAACAAGAACGACACTGTCCCCATCTCCAGGGATAGTAGTAAGTAACAAAGGTATGGGAAAGGAAAGAATTGCCATTTGAGAGGCTTGCAGGGAAAGAAATAGCACTGCCTTTAGGGGAAACAAGGTCTCAGAATAAGTTTGTGAGTGGAATATTTTGGAAAATTATGTTAAATACAGATTTTTCTAGTGGTTTGCTGATTTCCAGGGGATGCCATGGAAGAAACTGAGGAATTTTGGGGTGGGAGAGAACCTCTAAGAGATGAAGACATAAAAGGATACATACATAGCTGACTAGGAATAAGAGCCCAGAAAGTGATGGATGCTCTGGAGCCCATCTGTGGGAACTGAAGTAAGCGAGGATGAAAGGCGTATAAGGATGAAAATCCTGATGGCCTCAAGACAGGTGGTTGTTGGTGGTTATGAATTTTGGTATGGGTAAGAGAAAAGAATTTCTTACAAGGGATACCTCTTTACCCCAAAAGGTTCTCTTGACTGCCTTCTCCCTCCTATCAGTGGAATCATGAGTCAGAAAGGGGCAGACTCCCTTATCCAGAACACTTTAGTGCTTCCCTTCTTAACTTTCTTGGATAAAAAGTAGAGGTTTCTGATCTCTGGCCAGGAGAACACCAAGCACTGATTGGCTTAGATCTGCTGTAATAGTTATCTATTGCCACCTAACAAATTACCCCAAAACCTAGTGGCTTAAAGCAGCATTTATTATCTTGTCTCTTGTGTGGACTAGGAATCCAGGGAGGTGCAACTTGCTGAATCCTCTATTTGGGTGTCTCTCAGAGTTTCAGTCAGGTATTAGAGGGTCCAGTCATCCTAAGGTTTAACTGGGAATGGATCCTCTTTTAAATTCAAATAGTTACTGGCAAGATTCAGTTCCTTACCTTTGTTGGACTGAAGTCCCCAGTTTCTCACAAGCTGTTGACCAGAAGCCTCCCTTGATTCCTTTGCACATGGATCTCTCCATGAGGCAACTTGCAGCATTGCAACTGGCTTCCTCAGAGTAAGAATCTCTTGCTAGCAAGTGAATACTACCAAAACAAAAGTGAGAGTTTTTTAAATTCAGTCTTGGAAGTGACATCTTATCAATTTTTTGCTCCATTCTATTCATTAGAAGCAAGTCATTAGGTTCAGCCCATATGCAAGGGTATTACACAATGGGCATGAATACCAGGTGGCAGGGACAATTGAAGACCATTGAAGACCATGTCAGAAGGCTGCCCATCTCTGACCCAACTATAGATACAAGAGGATTAGTACTAGTTTAAATTGGTCAAGTTCTTTCCACCCCTGGAGAGTTGGAACCAAGTCCTGAAATCTCAAGGCTGCCGTATAATTGAGGGGAGGTGCAGAGGATGGAGTAAATGTTAGGTGGACAGCCACACTATTCACCAGTGTACTTGCTTTCATTCTTCTGCCCCTGAAGCTGTTGTTATTTCTACAACATTGATCAAGTATAAATTCCTTATTCTAGCATATATTGCCCTTCACAATCTGATCCCAAGTTATCCTTCCAGTCTGATCTCTCACCATTTACTCTAATTTATTCTTGGTCTCCGGACCTCTTTAATACTCTTAGAAGTTACTGAGGGCCCAAAATAGTTTTTATTTATATGTGTTATATCTATTAATATTTACTTAATTAGAAATATCAGAAATTTTTAAAATACTTATTAATTCATTTTAAAATAATTCCCATTATTTCCCATATAACATTTTTATTAAAAATAACAATTACTTGCTGGATACAGTAGTGTATAGTGGTGTATACCTATAATCCCAGTGACTCAGGAGGGTGAGAAAGGAGGATCACAAATTCAAGACCAGCCTCAGCAATTTAGCGAGGCCGAAAGCAACTTTGTAAGACCCAGTCTCAAAATAGAAAATAAAATGGGCTGGGGATATAGCTCACTGGTAAAGTGCCTCTAGGTTTAATCCCCTGTACCAAAAAACAAAACAAACAAACAAAAACCTTCTATTATTCAAAAAATGTTTTATATGATGAGGGATATCATTTACATTTTTAAAAATCTCTTAAATGTCAGTTTTAATTAAAAAAAAAGCCGCTAGATTTTCCTATCTGGTTCTATATTCTGTCTTTTGTGATACATAGTTTGGGTGAAGTATATCTGAAGAAAATCAGGCTTCACATAGATATGGAATTGAAAAATGAAAATACAAGTATTTTAATAATCTTGTCAGATAATTGTGGGTATTCTTGTTTGGCATTATAGCAATTGTATAAGTGATAATTTCTTAAAAGGTAGTTGTAATGTGGAATCTAAACTTTTCATATTCAGTTGAAATTAAGTCCATTGGACTCTCTGGTACTTTTAATAGCTTTTGCCTGCTTGGAAAATACTGATTGACTGAGTTATTTGGGTCTTCCAAATATTGACCCATTTCATTGTATTTTTAATCACATTTCACTGCCTCTTCAAAAAAGCCTTTAAATGTAGGGAATCTGAATCCTGGAGGATTCAAAAGTCTTATTTTCACCTAAATGCTCACATTTTATTATTGGCAACAAATATTCGTTTCCGCTAAGTAAGTAATTTCTACAAAGTGCCAAATACCCATAGCCATATTGAATTATCAGTTTGTTTTTTTTTAAGAGAGAGAGATAATTTTTTAATATTTATTTTTCAGTTTTCGGCAGACACACGTCTTTTTTTTTATTTTTATGTAGTGCTGAGGATGGAACCCAGCGCCCCGTGCATGCCAGACAAGCGCGCTACTGCTTGAGCCACATCCTCAGCCCTAATTAATAGTTTTTTCATGTAAAAAAAAAAAAAATGGTGCTTTGGGCTGGGGATGTGGCTCAAGTGGTAGCGCGCTCACCTGGCATGTGTGCGGCCCAGGTTCGATCCTCAGCACCACATACAAACAAAGATGTTGTGTCTGCTGAAAAAACTAAAAAAATCTCTCTCTCTCTCTCTCTCTCTCTCTTAAAAAAAATGGTGCTTTGTGGAAAAAAAGGAATCCTCATGACTTACAGTGCCTTCTAGCTTCTGTTTATTATGCTCTGAGTATCCTTTTACCTTTGCTGCCAACCTACAACCTCTCTTGTTGTACATCCCATTGAGATACCTCACAAAAGACTCTGATTGGATTCTCCAGCCATTACCCAAGGTCCATGGCACAAAGAGGTTCATGGCACAGGGATGGCAGCCCATAAATAAGCAATTATTTCGAGCGACTATATCAGAGACTGTAGGTCTGGCAAACACGGAGAGCACCATGTCTTAAAATATATACCATTATGAATTAGCAAGATATATTTTTCAAGGCATAGATATGAATAGAATGATCATGGTATGGAAAGTTAAGTTAAAACATCTCAGATTTCAGAATTTACTTTTACAAGCACTTCCTTGTCAGAGCCTTTTTTATAAACAAAAAAGCTTGTCCTTAAAGTGTAGTCACATGCTGGTACCACCTTTATTTTGGGGCCTCAATTTAAAAAAAAAAAATGGGCTGCTATAGGATCTGTCCCAAAATACTCTTCAATATGAGCTGAGCAATTGCTAACTATGAATTTTCTACCAATGTAAACAAAGAATTTATCGCCTTTCACATTGACATTAATACAAAAAAATTGTTAAAGGTTTCTGTGGTTGATCAACATTTTTCATTGTTCTAATGGGTGTCTTCCTCCTTCACAAGAGAGGAGAATCCTCCAGAGTATCTGTATCATCTTATATCTAGCGTTTTTATGTAATAAATTAACTCACTTGGCACTGTATTTTCCAAATCCACAGATTTTAAGTGTAGGTTTGGTAACTTGTCCTCCTTTAAGGGTCCTGTAATTACTGACATGCAATATAGGTTTTGGCTATTTTAACTGAGAACATGCCCATCTGTGCTTACAAACAAGTTCATTTCCTTAGTGAAATGAAGAACTAAAGTAGGCTGTTTTTAGAAAAAAAAATACGTGGGACCTGATTTCCCCTTTACATCCATCCCATGAAAACATTACTTGGGGTGGGAGATACTGTATTTGGGTTAATGGTGAGGAAAACAAAAACAACATCTCTTGGAAGAAATATAACCTAACACAATTTAAAATGGAAACAAATTGAAACATGATTCTTTCACAACATAGAAAGATTTTAATCTTATCTCTGTCATACATATGACATCTAAATTTTTAAAAGAAATCTAGGCCAGCATAGGTGGCACATACCTGTAATCCCAGCGACTCAGGAGGCTAAGGTAGGAGGATCACAAGTTCAAGGCCAGCCTGAACAATCTACTAAGACCCTATCTCAAAGTGAAAAAGAACTGAAGATTTGGCTTGGTGGTAAAGTACCCCTGGGTTCAATCCCCAGTATCAAAAAAAAATCATCCTTTATATTTTTTTTCCAAATGCAGGAAGTCAGAGACTATACATCTAGATTTTGTTAACTCTTGTACTTAAGTTATGTGTCACAAATAATTAATTTGTGTTTTAAAGACTAATTTGTGTATACTCCAAGTGATTTTTAAATTTTAGGCAGCTTACCTTTATTTCTGACACCACAATCCTCACTAAGACAAATTAACATGAGTTTCTCCATTGACTTTATATATTCCAACAATAATCATTTTTTCCAGTGGTACAAAGTACCCTTTACTACACTTCCTGCCTGGGTAGACAGTAGGAAAAGTTTATCATTTTTACTTTTTTGTAATGAAACACTAAAATATTATATCCTTCAGCTTTGTGATAGGTATAAAACAAAACCTCAGAAGCCATTCTTGCTGAGTATTAGTGCCACAATGCAGAGTAAAGTCTCAGAAAAACCAATTATATACTCTACGGGTGTGGATGGCTTTCAATATTAGTATCCTAAATCATCTAAAGGCTTGTTTTCTTTCTTTTTTACAGACCTAACTACCGTAATGAATGCTGCATATTAAGAGAAACCACAAGAAGGTTAAATGTTTGGTTGTCTAATAATCTTGGATTTGATATGAACCAACACATAGTCCTTGTTGTCATTGACAGAACCCCAGTTTGTATGTACATTATTCACATTCCTCTCTGTTTTGTTGGGAAAAGAGACATTTTAACCTTTTTTAAAAGGTTATTGATTTAATTTCATGTTATTTGGTTGCATGAAGTTGCCCTTAACCACTAAGAATTATCAAGATTTTTGCACAGACTTATACATGTCTAGGATATTTCTACCAAGGCAGTTATGTTCATCATTTTCCTGCCTTTACCCCCCACCACCACCAAACACTTGCTTACATATTAATTAGCATTATTTTAGATGACCATTCCATAATGCTTAAGGATGGAATTTCCTCTTTTTGACAGAACCCAGGAAGTACATTCCTAGATACATAATGTTGGTATATCAAAGATGAAATTAAAATTGTCCTTCAGTTTTGAGGCCCTGTGTAAAGTTTTAACCACATTGTACAATATCTATTCTGTATTAGAAATAGCTAGTTGACAGCTTATACTTCTCAAAACTCATGTTGTTATGTACACAAATTGAGTTTCTATATGTGAAGTTAGTGAGTCTTTTTGTGTTACTCCAAAATAAAGGCAATGATTTATTTTTTCCCAATGCCAGTACAATTTGAGCTAATCACTCAAGGTGGATACTTTTACATTTTAAGGCTGGAATCACCAGCAGCCCTGTGGAAAACCAGACAAAGCATTGACTTTTAAATAGAGACTTTTAAAATGAACTGTTTTCTTTTGGAACTAGAATTAGAATAGTTAATATTCACCCATAAACCATTATTATGTGTACATTATTGTTGCTATTGTGATAATAGAGAATTTTATTTATTTTTATGCCAGCTTATATTGTGAAAACACATTTAGTCAATTTGAGTTTTATCAATCCTGTTATGCTTGTCCTTGGAACATCTTTGCGTATTCGAGGTTTGTAGTTGAAGAGTTTACTGTAAAAAAAGAAAAAAATCAAAAACAAAAAAAAATGTATTGTTTTTACAGAATAAATTTATTGGAATGTGTACTGGGAGTAAGCTTTGAGGTTGTAAACAACTAAGGTAGTGTAATTTGGCTTCATATATGTAATGTGAGGTAGTAATGTAATTCATATATTAAAGCAAAAATTGTTAATAGCAGGTTAACAGTAGAATCAAGAGTGCAGGCAAAGGTTTTCTTTTTTTAAAACACTCTCTGGGTCTTAGGTTATTTGAAAACACTGGGAGGCAAGGGGAGTGACAACATGATTTGTACACCTAAGAAAATATTTACCAGCTCAGTGAACCCTAAATTCACACATTTGACATTATCCATGCGTTGATCTGTATCCTCTTTGCTTTCAGCTTTCTCATTTTGATGAAGAGCTAATGAACATGAAGAGAAAAGAAAGTATAAGGAAACCTAAAAGCCCAGGGGCATTAATAAATAATAGGGGTCATGAGGTAGCTGAGGCCATAATGAAAACACCAATTCACTTGGAATCCCAAGGCACACTGAGGAGGCAGCTATGTTTTGGGTTTGATTCTGTTTGAGAAAATATCAATTGTGTCTATTGTACTCACAATTCCAAATATGAAAAGTTCATAAAAAGTAAGGATGCCAATCTGGTTCTCTTTCCTTAGGAGCTATCTTTTAATTTTGAACATTTTATTTTAAAATTAATGAAATTTAATTAATTCACCAAAAGATCTCTTGAATGCTTGCACTAAAACACAGATGACATTTTCAATTGGAACATATAAATGATATTCTAAAGTAAAAAGCCAAAACTTATCATGAAAATATATATGTATGTATAAAATGTCTCAAATTTAACAAGATTTATCTTCATAAAACACCAAAAATAATTTTATTAAAAATACAACAGAAATACAATAGAAATATTTCCAGACACCAATAAAACAAGTGTTCATTAAGGGTAAAGATAAAGTTAATCAGTCTCACTTTAGCTATTCAGATTCACACAAAAAGTTTTAGTAAAAGCAATTTTAAAATAGCAGTAAGTAATATACTTTCCTTGAAAAACATTTTTCAAACATTTAAAAATATTAGGATAATCTGCATTTTATATTGAGGTTGATAATAAAGCATATACATCTTAAATGCAGAAGTTATTTCTCCAACCTGTGATTGCTGTTTTGAATTTTTTTATATGCATAGACCACATTCATCTCTGAAGTTACATTTTTATGCTCACTATTATAGGCACTGAATTGTAATTTTTCACACTTATTTTAGTATGTGCAAACAAAATATTGAGCTAGATGGTCAGGTTTATTCACAGATAATTTTTGTTTAAAGAGATAATTTGTTTAAACAAGCTGTATCTCAACAACTTCAGTTTTCCTTCAAAAAAATTTACTCACACAATGTCATATAATTATAGCTCATACATACAATACAGAGCAAGAATTTGTGACAGTACCATATTACAGCTCACATGTAAACTACAGAGCAAGAATTTGTTTTCTTACATATTATGTATGAGAAAGAAATGGAACAAAATATCAGTACCAACATAGCAGTCACTAATCTAGAGAAGAAAAACATCAAGTGATATTTTTATTCCACTTTTTCATCTGCCTTTGTTTTTATGAAGAACTCTGGTTTGTAGATACAGCGATAAGCCAAGAGCTGAGGAAGAACTCCATATGCTATGTTCAATGCTAAAAAAAGGATTTTTGCTTCTTCAGGGACTCTGTAGACATAAGCGGTTCTGGCATGAAGAGAAGCACCAATGTGAGAAAACTGAGCCTGTTATATTTAAAAAAAAAAAAATTGGGTAAGCATGAAATTTGTGTTCAATTGGATGAATGATGAGTTCTGGATGGCTCATTTAGACCATGTTTCTCTGCCCTTGAAACCAGTCTTATTCACAGACAAAATACCTTCAAACAAACCACAGTCTTTTAATGAGTTTTCATTAAGTTTAGGGTCATTCTTGATACTGTTCAAATAAAATATACTTTCTTTAGTGTGGTTTTTATCAAGGCAATTGTGTTTTTTAACTGATTCAGTGCCCCATAATAAACATTGATTAGTGGCTCAATTCAATGGAAAAATCTGAATAAAACCTCCATCCTCCATTTCTTTCTGATTTGCATTCTGGAAATCCTGCAAAGATTCAGCTATGCTTACAAATTATATTCCAATAAAAATTATATATAGATATATTTAGCATAACTATTGAAAGAGAAGCACTGAGGACCTCAGCTTCATTTATCAGTCATCCACTTTTTGGAGCAAGAGCTTAAAGCCTTTTCATTATGTATATATAAAGTTTGTTTTTTATGCAACTTTAAAAATACGAAGGGTTGTGTTTTAAGATAAGGTTGTTAACAGCTTGGATAGGGGTACAGGTATGATTGTTCTTTATAAAACGACAAATATATGTGCAGGCAACCTTTTAAAATCAAATTGTAAGTTACTTAGAAGAGTGACTTATCAGCATAATTTGAGTTCACAAAACAGAAAGGCAAGGGCCTCCTTGTATACCTACATACTTCTTCAGAACACACATCCAGTTGGTCATTTTTGATACTTTTCATAAGCACAGAGGGAAACTATTAGAAATGGAAATGCAGGCTGCAGCAAAATTAAAAGATCCTGAGAGAGAATTCCCTCAGGAAGTTGGTGTCATTTTAGAATGCAACCCTCAAGTCTGTTATTTTCATGAACAAGGGATTGGGAATCTAAGTGTAACAAGTAGTAAATTATTAGATCAACAGGGTCAAAGTGAAATCTAAAGAAGACAAATAATTTTAAAATGATAAACTATTCAAATAATTTGCTTCAAGTACATTTAGGTTATTCATTTCCATCTATGTGAAACCAACATTCAGATAAGTGGTTAACAGATAAAAATATTAACACCCAATTTTACCATGACAAGAAAAGGGCAAGCTTTTATAAGCAACATGTTTATGAATTTGTATAATCAGCAGATACTTTAATGGGCTATAATTTTACAAATTATTGATATATTCTGGATACCTCTGGTACATATTTGCTACTCTCTGGAGATAGTAATTTTTTTTTTAATTACTCTGGTATGTTGCCAAGGGCCAAGTGGATTATTGACATTGTGACCCATGAGGCACCCAGAGGGCTCTGCCTTCAGATACATTTCCCTGGGCAGATTCCCAAATCCAGCAAGTGTATTAATCCCTGGGCTACAAAGACAAAAGATCTTGAGAGTAAAGAGCACTTTGGGTGCTGCCCTGAGGAGCTGCTGTTGTGGGTATTTCTAGGAGCTCTGAACAGTGGTTCCTGTCACTAGTTTTTCCTAGCGCTTATTTTGAATAAGTGTTTTTTTGAATATATAACTTAACTTTTTCTTCTGGACTGGAGGCCAGTTTTGAACCCTGGTTTTCTCATAAATGTGGGTTTGGTAGCTCTATCTTTATAGACACTTTTACACACCACTAAATCACCAGATTTGGAAAAAGCCAACCATACTTTGAGAAATTAAGTAATATGAGCAGTCGTGCTTACTTGCATAAGGAAGCTTGCATAAAAAGTCAGTGTTTCTGTGGGCCCTTTTCCTGCACTAATCAGTGCAGTTAATACCTCATTTTCATGATCAGCAAACCCATGGCAACATTAAAAAAAATGATTCATGTCCTTAGATTAGATTGTAAGCCCTCTGGGCAGGTACCATGTCTAATGTTTTGTGTGGCACTATCGCTTTGTTAGAGCTCAATAAACATTCAACAACAATGGTCTGTGACTCAAAATACAAAAAGGATCTGTAAAGCATTTCTTTATTTTTATAACTACCTATAGTAAGCCATTCGATTCAGAATTATTAAATAAGGGTGAAGATTTTAACTTTCCTAATCAAAAGAGATGTCTGTATATGAGAAAAGAACTCTAATGCCAGCTCCTGGTTCTGCACATAATTCTAATGGGTGCATTTATGGCAGCCATACCTCCAGCTGAGTGGGCATCCAACTATAGCTTCCTCCCAAACATACTAGTGTTAAGTATCTAGAGTCAAGTTTCAGAGGAACCTCAGTCTCACCTGAGGGTTCCCCTCCTAAGCACACAGGACTCCATAGGATGGCTTGAAGAGTTCAGGTGAGCACCTTGCAAGGGTCAGGTGAATGAATGAACTCATTGCTGCTGAGCTGACCTGGGGCCTAGGATTATGGGATCAGAGTGCAGTGGTGTGAGTCCCTAATCATTTTTCTATTTCATTCTGGATTGTTTTCTAACTTACAAAGATCATTGAGATACAGTTTGTTTGTTTTTTGTATTGAGAATTGAACCTGGGGCACTTAACCACTGAGCCACATCCCCAGACCTTTTTGTTTTTTATTTATTTATTTTTATTTTGAGACAGGGTCTCTCTAAGTTGCTTAGGGCCTTGCTAACTTGTTAAAACTGATCTTGAACTTGTATTCCTCCTGCCTCAACTTCCTAAGTCATTGTAATTACAGGCATGTACCACCGTGCCCAGCTTACTTTGATTTTTTTTTAAGATTGGATGATTGGAATGGAAAATGAGGCAATGAAAGTAAACAAAAGGCTAAATTTTAATAGCTTTTTTTTCTTATATTCATAGATACAACCTGGAAAAGACAACTAAAAATCAGTCCTGGCTCCAGAAGGAAGAACTGAGTTTTATGTGCTCACACGAATGTTCTAGGCAAAAACTATGTGACCATTGGGACAATAGCCTGGTTATTTGGCCAATACAATATAAATAGCTAATCCGGAACCATGTTATCTTTTCTTAGGGTTTTCTGAGCAGCATAGTATAGTGATTCAGAACACTTACTCTGGAACCAGATGGCCAGAGTCAAATTCCAGCTCCACCACAAACCAGCAAGATGGCCTTGGGTGAGGTATGTAACCCTGTGGCTTCCTCATCTGTAAAAATGGGTAATAGTAGAACCTACCTCATAGAGGTTAGTGCAATGATATCTGGGACATGTTTAGGATGGTGCCAAGCACTTGAGGCTGTTCTGTAGACAGATTCAAAACTCAAATACTTTTTCATAATCTGGTGCAGTACTTTGTTGAAAATCTGGGCTCTTGTTGACCTTTTGGCTGTCATTGTCTCCATCAAAGGATAATATAAATATGTTAAACCCACAGTCTCATTTTAATACTAAATAAAGATGTCTGGTAATGAATCATACCAAAAGCAAATGAGTAAAGTGAGATTTGCATTAATATTACAATTATCCATGCTTTTCCTAAACCTTTATTTTCATATACTTCTTAAAGGTTTCCACAAAGGAAAAAACTAAATTCACTTCAGTAGAGTCAGCTCTTTATAACCAGATTGTCCACAGATAAGCCTCCAGACCCCTTTGTGAGAAAGTCCATGGCACCTGCACAGTCAGGAGTGGGAGAGGCGGAGGGCAACCAGTGGGAGGAGATTTCACCTTGTAAGAGTGAAATGAGCCTGCTTCTAAGGTTGTAGGGCAGCAGAAAGCCTGTTGTGAGTCTGTCCCATAGCTTTCACACAGTTTCTTTGAGTTTTAGGTAATTATATGCAATACACATAGCTTGCTTAAACTGGCTACAGATTAATTAGTGTCTCAATAAAATAAGGCGTTTCTCCAAACTCTTACTGGGAATTATACCAATAATAATAATAGCAACCAAGAGTTTACATAGCTATTGTGTGGCATGAACTATTCTTAGCCCTTCAAATATATTGCCTCATTTAATCCTCACAGCAACACTATGAGAAAGGTACTCTTAATATCCTCACTTTACAGAAGAGGAAATGTGATCAGAGAGATGATCAAGGTCATTGAGCTAATCAGTGACAGGTTGGATCTAAATCAGTCTTCTTCCAGAGCTCCTGCTCTTAACCATTAACTATTAGCTCTGAGGGGTTTTTTTCTTTTAATTTTTTTCATTTTTAGTGATATTTTAACAATATAAAAATATTGTTATTTTAACAATATTTTTTAACAATATGATATTTTAACAATTATAAAGTAATCCATTTATGCTAAGGGAAATTGATTCTAGGAAATCCGTGGATAATCAAGTCCCTTTTATAAAATGATATACTTGCAGGTATAATACACACATCCTCCCATATACTTTAAACCATAGGTTTAAAATCTAGGTTACTTAATAATACCTAATAGAATATACATTTTATGTAAATAGTTATTAGGGAATAATGACAAAGAAAAGTCTATAGTTTAATAGGCCTAAGTTTTTGATGGTTGAATCTGCACATACAGAGCTATGTAAGTTGATAGAAAATGCTAGTAAACAGATTGAATCAGCCTGTAATACTTTTTAAGTTAGGCTTGCAACTTTAGTCCTATAGTAAGCATTTTGTATGAAGAAATAATTGGCTATGAATAAGTTCCAGTGGAATTATTTGGCCTAAAAGGTGTCCTGGTTTTACTTTATTCTACTTTTCTAGTGAACTTTTGATTTCTGAAGTCAACAGATTTGCCAAACTCCTACATTGTCAGAAACCAAGGACTGTCTTCCATTGACCTAACAGATACAGAACTTTGCAAAGATTTTTTTTCTTATTAAATTCCATAGAGTTGGGAGTTCACTAGATCTTTTAGTAAGAGCATGTTTTGGTAATGTCAGTAGGATCATGAATGTATAAGGCTTCTAAATTAGACATGGCAATTTTAGCCAACAACAGGTACTGGTCAAGGTTACAAAATAATTTTTATGTTGAATATGTCTGATACCCTCCTAAGATGAGAGGCTATTTCATAAACAGGTATTTTCTAGGTGTAAAACAAATAACAACTAATTCAACATCCTAATCATATGCATTGTTTTGCTGCAGCATGATTTCTAACTTTTCCTTAGGCTGAACACTATGTATAATAGATACCCAAGCCCAGATAATAGCTCTAGGGTGAAACACCAATTCTTGAATTATGCCAGTCTTTGCCTGCTTAGTCAAGAGAAATGTCCCTCTGACATTTATAGGACCTGAGCCTCAGACTCTGGGTCTGGGTGCTTATCAGCAAGAGAGGAACTTCAGGCTACCTTGTCACATTGGGTAGTGATGAATAAGCCCAAGGATTCCTGGAAGTCCTAAAGTTTGGCTGAAGCTGCCACTGCTACTGCCCTTCCTAGAATGATCATAGTAGAGTCACAAGTACCCATTTTAAAGATGAGCTTCATCAACAGGTAGAGTTTTGGGTTGGTTTCACTACTCTGGGCTCTGATATCCAGTTGCTCCCAAAGCCATGACCTTCCTAAGCCTCCTGACTCCTGGCTCGTTCCACATGACTGGGCCTTTTCTTAGGTGTTTCTGCGTAATTCTCTAGTTTCCTGAGATTTTACAGGTCCCACATCAGGCCTCCTCTGCCATCCTCCTAGCTGAGGACACTTCTAGCTGAATGCTGCCTCAAGCTGGTGGCACAGGGAAGACCAAGGCACATGGTGTGCAGAGGAGGCCCAATAGTGAATTAAAGCACACAGGTAATGAGTAGCTGTTGGACTCTGAATAATCTAATCCTGGAAAAGTTGGACACTGTAACACATGCCTGTAATTCCAGCAATTTGGAAGGCTAAGGCAGGAGGATCTCGTTCCAGGCCAGCCTCAGCAACTTAGCCAGAGCCTGTCTCAAAAAAATTAAAAGGGCTAGGGATGTAGCTCAGTGGTAAAATGCCCCTGGATTCAATTCCCAGTACAAAAAAGAGAGAGAAAAGAAAAGGCTGGCAAGAGTATGGTGAGTATGTATATGTATCCTGGATGATACAGGAAAATAATGGAGAGGAACCAGGCCAAGAAAAAAGCCGAGGTTTACTCTGCCCACTGACCTGCTGCACACTCTGACATATAAATGCTTCTTTGTTCCCTGGAGAGACTCAACCTAATAAAGTCCTGATTGGCCCTCAGAACCCCTTTAGATGTCACTGCCTCCCACACTCATGCTCACCCACAAAGGTTCTCCAACTCCTCCATGCTGCACACAGTCTTTCTTGCATAGAAGAACCCTGTGCCATAGCTGTTTGCAGAGGCAGGGGAAGATAGTGAAAAAGAAGATGGGCTTTGGAGTCAAGATTTCATATCCCTTTCATGCCATTTAGTAACTCTAGTGACCTTGGCCAAGTGACTCAAGCTGTCCCTAGCTTCAGTTTCGTCATCTTTAAATGGAAATTTAATTTAAAAACAAAAATCTTTGCAAAGATAATGTCATGCATACGTTACTCTTTATTCTGAGGCACATAGGAAGACCACATTTACCAGACTCCCCTGCAGCTGAGTTGATACCAGAACTGGCCCTTGAATATATTCCATATGATCTATGCACAGCAAGAAACGAAATTTTACTGTTTAACCACTGAGTATTTGTTACTGCAACAGAGCACAGAGCTATCCTTACACAAATAGGTAAGTACAATATTTAGCATAATATGCCCATGTCCTATTTTAGTCTCTAAATCTGACAAGGGAATGACACAACCAGGGGAAATGATCAAGTCTGGAATTAAATATAAGAGTCTTGGAGCAAATTGGGATGAAGCAGTTGGAAGTCATTACTTATAGTTGAAGGCCTGAAGAGTTGGGTCTATAAAGGAGGAGCCACCAACAAAGTGGGATAAATAGAGCTGTCCTCCAAGATAGGAATCATTTCTTTTGGGTGCTGAATTGACTTTTCTATTATGAATATTCCAATTTTATAATTAAATACCTCAGGCTTGAAGGATTTAACCCATTAACCCCCCCCCAAATACTGTAATTGTTCTTTAATTCTGAATTCTGGTGTTTTTGCCATATGGTTACTACACCATGGGTACATACTTAACTGTATATGCCTAGAGTTTCTGGATGAACTTCATTCTTAAGCCTTTTTGAAAAGAACAAGACAAAGTTTTTTAAAAAACTGAGTTCATTTTTTTTATTTCCAGTAAGAAACTATAAAATTACTTAACTTTCTTCCTTGTTCAGAAGATTGCTTTGTTTCACTACCTGTTATGGTTGTAAAAATGTTTTGTATGATAATTGCATAAATAATTTCCAGTTTAATGTAGTAAACTTTTACTGAACACCCACTATCAGAGAATTAGCTTGGTGCCAGAAGGAGGAATTCAACAACAGGCCCAGCTTTCCAGGAGCAGAACTTTTCTTAAGATCAGTTTCCCTGGTTCTATATAGCATAGTATAGCAGAATTCTGAAACATTAAATTTAGATAGACATCTTGAAAATAACAGCTCTCAATTCCTTTTCAATGGCCATGATATTCAGAGATTGGAAACAGTCCTATAAAAACAGTAGCGCTACTTGCTGGGTATGTGAACTTGGGTAAATCATGTAATGTCACTTAACCTCAGGTTCCTTATCTGTATAACTAGACAAATCTACCAGATAGTTATTGTTTAAGTAAAATGTATATACAGAAATGTCTTCCAAAGAATTGTAAAACAAAAGACAATATGTCTCATAGCTATTTCTTACTCTAAACACTGAACAGAGATAGTTTTTATATATATTCAATAATGATAGCTATATCACCACTCAGAAGAAAATATTCTTAGTACCTGAGCTAGGCCTCCAGCATGAATCAGTGTTATGTCAGGCATCCAGGAACACCCAGGAACCACTAAGCCATAAAGTGCAATCACAAAGTAAGGGACAGAATAAAACATATATGCCAGCATCTGTATTGAATGGAGAAATAAATAACATCAGCAAATTAATAGCTTAGCCTAAACAAAAAGTACAAAAACAAATAACATTTTTCAGGATAAAATCCTAAATTCAGTTTTCTCTTTGGGGCCACATTGTCCCATTAAAAAAAAAAAAGAATTTAACTTTTAAACTTTTAAAAATTCTTAGGCTTCATAACTACTTGACCTGAATTTTAGGATAAGCAGCAGGATCCTTTAGGTAGGGCTCTTGAAATTGTGCATACGATCGGCAGAGTTCAGCTGGGCAATCCAAAGCAATCTAAGAACAAAAATGAATTTATAATAAAAATACAATCACTTCTGGTTTGTAGGTTTGCTGATAAGGCTAATGTGCCAGGTTTAGTCACAAGCTGCTATTTAACAAAAACTGCATTGTAGAGGTTCATCAATGGGAAAAAAAAAAGGAAATATTCTGCAGATTTATCTAAGGAAATTAAACAAAGGTTAATAGTGAAGTAGGAAATGGAAACAGATGCTCTATTCTTGGGTATCTTTCAAATATTCTTAGTTTAAGTATGTAGGTTTGGCTAGCCAAAGCACAGCTTGCTTTAGATTTAGTTTCACTTCTCCTGGGAATAACTAGCCAACTAGTCCCTACAGAAAGAAAAGTAGATTTCTATACCAAATTCATCTTACTATGCTCTCCAAGATTCAAAAATAGCATCCTCCTCTCTCCAGTGCCTCACAGAGTATATGTGGCCTTTGAGTACAGTAAAGGATAATGATTTAAAAGCAGGATCCTCTTGTCTGAAGCTACCTCCTGTATCTACTTTGAAAAAGATCAGAAATGATTTAGTCTCAGCAGAGTAAACTCTAGGCCACAGAACAGACAAAAGTCTCTTTGGCATACTACTGAGTCTGCTGAGTCACCTTCCCTCTCAGGTACCATTCCTCATATCCTTGGCCATAAATTAAATGTCCCAACATGTAGAACACAAGCCAATGTCAGGACTGGTCAAAATGGGTCCCAACCCAAAACCCATCTGCGAAACCCCCACTTACCACACATACACATCCATGCATTTTTCTAACATGCAGAGAGAAGTGGATATGGTCTTGCAACTGGGTCATGTTATTTCTTTTTGTCTCTACTTTGAGAAATATACAGCAAACTAACCAAAGAAAAGTTTCAGTGGTCTGAAAAGTTTTCAGTGGCCTATGACCTTGCCTTTGTTTCCCTTCCCTGTGTCTCTCCTCTTAACCAAATCCTCCAGGAAGATTCTGACAATCCATAAACAGAGACAACTCAAAACAGCTTCTTACTGTGAACCCTCAGCGGCCATACAGGCCCCTTTTAGCCCAAGGATCGCAAAAAAATGGAAAAGCTGCATCAGTTTACACTTGCCGCTCTGTTCCCTGACTATTCTAAGCTGAATATAGTTAATTATGAGCTGCTTAAATTTTTTTCTGCTAAGAATAAATTATGAAACAGAGCATTGTGAAGGATCACTGATCAGTTAAAACAGAGAAGTCATTTATTGATGCTTACTTTTTTATACATAGTAACTCTACCAAGAGTTTAATGTGCATTATCTAACTTAATATTTAAAACAATATTGTAAGGTAGGTAGTTTCATTTTAGAGGAAAAAATTGAGGTCAAAGAAAATTTTTGTAAGGCCATAGAGCTATAGGAAATGGCCAAGATTCCAAACTCTAAAGCTTATAGGTCTTTTTCTTATCCTTCATATTATAAAAATTATAAAGGGAAAGTTGAAAAAAATGAAATGTCCACATGCCCTTAATGTTTATCATGCACATCAATACACGACTCTGAACCTGGACCTGGTTTGCTCAACACTATTCTTACCAGTGAGAAATTCACATGACCCTACATAGATTTGAATTGTTTATTTTGAATTTGAATTCTTACTCAGACCCATTGCCCCTTCTCTTGAGATGCTCTGTGTGACAGCTAGATGAGTCTTAGGATATCATCCTTGCCAAATATATTTACATTTAAATCAGAAACATCAAAGGAACCAAGAAAATTGAATTCTAATGGCTAAAATAAGGTAAGGAAGATACTTTTGGATGAAGCCTGACCTAGGGACCTAAAGGAGGTGGTATGAAACAACCCAAGATGAGTCACCCCTTAGAATCAGAGACTTAAGGGTGAGAGACCAGCATGAAGTAGGTCCAGAATTCCAGGCTCTAACAGGAAAAAATTGTTTGTTTGCTAAGAAGTCTGATTAAAAAAAAAAAAACATTTTCAGGAGTTTTGGAAGCATTAATAGGATAATAATGTTGTTTTGATCTCTTATGCTTACCAAGCCTCTGAACAAGCAAAATACAGTTGCCAGGAGGAGACACATGACCAACATTAAATCCAGTGGTCTTCTCAGCAGGTCCTTTGCTTGGGCTTCTTGTACAACCTAAAATAGAGTTTAATCTAAACAGCAAGCCCAAAGTGCCAAAGAAGAATCTCAGATCTCCTTAAACACTGAATGCCATGATGATGGATGACAGAATTTTGAAGATTCACAATTCATATCATATACCACTTGCCATGGAACTTTAGGAGAGTCATCCCCACTCCTTCTGTGAAATAAAGAGATGAGACCAGGTGATCTTGAGGGGCCTTTCCAGCTCTGTTAGTCCAGATTTTTTCTTTTCTTTTTTTTTAAATTTTTTTATAGTTGTAGATGGACAGCATGCCTTTATTTTGTTTTTTTAATATTTATTTTTTAGTTGTAGTTGGACACAATCCTGTTATTTCACTTATTTATTTTTATGTGGTGTTAAGGATCTAACCCAGTGCTTCACACATGCTAGGTAAGTGCTCTGCCACTGAGCTACAGCCTCAGCCCCCCCGATTTTTTTTTTTTTTTTTTTTTTTTTTTTTTTTTTTTTTTTAGTTTTTTAGGTGAACACAATATCTTTATTTTATTTTTATGTGGTGCTGAGGATCAAACCCAGTGCCTCGTGCAGGCCAGGCCAGTGCGCTACCACTTGAGCCACATCCCCAGCCCCCATATTTTTTCTTGAAATGACATTTTCATGATTTATTTAAAAGATACACTCATTTGAAAACTAAGAAAATATTAATAAATAAACCATGAACTAGTCATATCACTTTTTTAGTCACATATTTACATTTTTATTCATTTGAATATATACATATTCATATAAAACCTATTTTGGGGCAGGGGAGATGGGATTTAATCCAGGGTCATTTTACGACTGAGATCAATCCCCAGCACTTTTTCTTCTTAATATATATTTTAGTTGTAGGTGGACATAATACCTTTCTTTTATTACTTTTATGTGGTGCTGAGGATCAACCCCAGTGCCTTACATATGCCAGGAAACCACTCTACCACTGAGCTATAACCCCAGCATTTTTTTAAAATTTTGAGATAGGGTTTCACTAAATTGCTGAAGCTAGCCTCAAACTTTTGATCCTCCTATCTCAGCCTCTCAAGTCACTGGGATTACAGACATGGACAGCTAAAATCTGTATTTTCACAAAATTAGAACATAATATATAAACAATTTTGCAGTCTCTTTTCACTCAACAACTACCTATATAATAAGCATTTTCCTGCATTATTAAAAGTTCCAAAACTTAATACCATATGGGAACACACTTTAGCTATTCTCCCACTGTTGGACATTTACATATTTTTCACTGTCAAATTTAAGGTGATGGTGAACAATTTTGTACATAAATCTTTGTCATCTTTTTTGCTTGCGGCACTAGGGATTGAACGGGTGCTCCACTACTGAGCTATAAAACCTAGCTTTTTTATTTTTTATTTTGAGGCAGGGTCTTACTACATTGCCCAGGCTGGTCTTGAACTTGCACTCCTCCTGCCTTAGCCCCCTATGCAGCAGGAATTATAGGTGTGCACCAGCACACCCAGCTGTACATAAAAATCTTTGACAGCGTTTCTTTAATGAATTTCTTAGGATAGGTCACTGACTATTCAATTTTTAGGTTGAAGGATTGTTAAGTTTATAAACTTAGGTTCTTGTTAGCACTGTATGATGGATGCATTTGGTCCATCACTGTGTTTTAGCATCAAAAATAATAATTAAAGGTTCTGTGGGTCTTATGATTATTCTGATGGTATACTGACATGGTGCCTCTGAAAGCAGGGAAGTCGGGGCTAAAGCCAGGATTGCTATTTATTTTTTCTTTTTAACAACTACCTCATTCCTCAAAGGGATGTAAAAGCACCAGTGTACCAGCCTGAGTTTAACACAGCAGGTGTCTAAATGTTTACAAATGAAGTGCATTTGTAGGTTTAAATGTATTTTAACACTGTGGGTTTAGCTCAATGGTAGAGTATATACTTAGCATACAGGAGACTATAGGTTCAATCCCCATCAAGGAAAAAAATAATAATTTTATTGAGTTCAATTATAAATGTTTTTGTAGGCCAGATGTGGTGGTACAATCCTGTAATCCCAGTGGCATAGGTGGCTGAGGCAAGAGGATCAGAAGTTCAAAGCCAGCCTCAGCAACTTAGCAAGGCCCTGTCTCAAAATAAAAAACAAAAAGGGTTTGGGATATGACTCAGCAGGTAAGCACCCCTGGGTTCAACCTCCAGTACCATCCCTAAAAAAGGGGGGAGGGGTTTGTAAAATAAATAACCATTATTCTGATAATTATATTATCATATGATTTATATTTGCATTTATATGCTTTATTTAAAGGATCTTGTTTAAAGATCTAATACCTGGGGCTAGGGTTGTAGCTCAGTGGCAGAGTGCTTGCCTAGCATATGTGAGGCACTAGGTTCAATTCTCAGCACCACATATAAATAAATAAAATAAGGGTCCATTGCCAACTAAAAAATATTTTCTTAAAAAAAGATCTAATACCTATAAATGGAAAAGAAACTTAGAAAGATGTTACTAGGTTAGATATTAAGACTTTTAACAGAGTACCTGCCAGGTCAGTATTATTTCACCTTGCCCACTTTGGCTGTGAATAGAAGGGAGGTATCTCAGAAGAGGTCCTATAGCCAATCTCCATGTGCCTGGATTTCTTGGGAATCAGACCCTGTGGCTATGTGGACTACTTTGAATAGCAGTAGCTCTCCAACCTACTTGTGGGCCAATAAATGCACAGCTTCCAGGTACTCAAACCCAAGCCATTAATAACTTCAGACAAAGTACACATGTGAACCTCGCTTAACACATTAATGCAGAATCTGATAAAGTTCCAAAAGTATGGCCTGTCTAATATTAGTTGGTGTATTCAGACAGAAGCCAACCAGCCTGGTCACATCAACGGAAATGTAAATGCTACACAATCAACAGAGTCACACTGATTGATGCCTCGCCTCAGATGCTCCAGTCCTTAGAGGTATAATTCAATTCAGTGACCAGTGGACATTTGAAAACAGGTTACGTTTAAATTTAATAAAATCACCTTTGAGGGATAATTATAATTTTCCGATGGCTGATTATAGATTCTGAAACCAGCCCAGACAGGAAGACAAGCGTATGGTATGCTTAAGAAAAATGCAGGGCAAATCCTTGTTCCATACTTCCCTATTTAAAAGAAAAGAAAGAGAAATTCAAATGTTTACCCAAAGCATATCTAACCACAAGTAATATTTAGGATACCTCCCCATCTCAAATCATCTAAAATTTTTCTATGGATCAGACATCATATTTAAAGAGATGAAGAAGAAAAGGTGAATTTAAAATGTAGATGTTAATGGGCATATCCTGTCAACAATATTAAAAAGTATATGTAATATACCATCCTGGTTTCCGGCATGCATAATAACTTTTTACCAATTTCCAAATACATCTCATTGTGTGTCAAGAGTTATATATATAGCAAATAATTGTAACAAGTATTTACACACTAAATGTTGCCACAAATGCTGGAGTCAGCCTCTCTATCCTTCAAAAAGTTAGGAATCTATAATACTTAACTGTCATAATTGTTCAATGTGCTCTTCTGAAAACTGCTTAAAGGCACTTCTTAAAAGTCAAAATTACAGAAAGGAATAAAGATTACAGGAATAATTTTACAGAACAGGTTTTTTATAATCTTGAAATCTCTTAGTTCTCTAATAACCAAAATAATCTACATATTGTTTTAAAAAATCCCCATTATTGCAGAAAAGGAAAGTGAATTTTAAGATAAAGTTTCTTACCTACAATGTTTCCAGGCACAAAAACAACAGTACTCATTATAATGGATCCTACCCAATATAGGCCAATGGTTCTATAACTTTCCCTGTAACAAACAAACAAAAAAATCTTGACTTAGCACACTTGTCTTAGAGTATTATTAGAAAAGACTATCCTCAATATTATGTTTTATTCTAACTAGTACATGAATCAAGAGTAATAAATCAAACAAAATGAATCGTAGCAATCAAACATCATCTCCATATGTAATACACTACAGAACCTTCTTTGTATCCCTTTGAATAAGAAATTATTCTTACTACCTCAGTCTGCTGTTAAATTACAATGTATTCATCACTGTCACAGAACTCCCTGTTAGATGTAAAAGAGCATGAAAAGGAAGAGAAAGTTCAAAGAAGAAAAGAAATTGGATCCATATTTTAAATCATTGTAAGTATGAGTAACAATATAAAACACACTTTCCCTTGGCAACAGAGTTTTGTACGAAGCCCCAAAAGTAGAGATAGTACATGACACATTCCATGTTTTAAAGGAGCTGCTAGACATATACTCACAATCTTCAATGTTGGATTATTGGTTGAAATGTTCCTTCAACTGATAACCCAATAACTCAACTTCATAGAATAAAGGAGGCTATGGAAAGCTCAAAAGAAGATTCTCTGAAGGGTACAGAAGTGGAGAACACTATGTGCTTTCTGCCCTATCCCAGTCCCAAGCCAAATGCAGCCAACCCCATGAGGACCTTTCACAATGACTTGTATTGTCCATAAAGGAACAAACAAGAATTAGCTGGAGCTATCCTCGAGTGTATGATGAGAAAGGGGGAACAGCCAATCAAGCATCACTTCAACCTTAGATGGGGCAGAAATGCATGACTTTTCTCTAACCTGGAGCCAAGGGAAAGCCTGTGAAGGTAGCTTGGCTGGAGCCATCTTGAAAGAAGCCTCCCCAAAGAGTGTGCCTTGTGGGATATGGAAAGAAGCTATGGGTAAACTGTCACGGACAGGAGAGTCAAATTCAGCCAGACAGCATTGCTTACTTCAGGAACTAGAACAATGCAGAGGTTCTTGCCATAGTGGTCTCCAAAGAGCCCATATAAGTGTCCCACAAGGCACAGCATTTCATGGTAGAGAACACTAGTACCCAGAAAACAGCAACTGTCACATAAGACTCCCCCTCTTTCTTTAATCCTACGGACATACACTCCCAGAGTAGGCAACCACAGAGAGTTGAAAAGGACTATGACAAACTCTCCCAAGGCTGGGTGAAGGTCCCCAAATCTCAGAACTACACCTGGCAGTGGGGAAAAGCTTTAAAATGAGATTGAAGTTTTGAATCAGAATGTGCTGAGCTTGAATTCCTGAAAATGAGACTTGTTCTTATTAGAAAATATGATCAGAAAGCTAAAAGTTAGACTGCCTGAGCTTCACTAGGGTGGGGAAGCAATCCCAGGACACATTAAAAAAGACAGTGGGTTCAAGGAAAATAAAGCCACATTGGACATGTACCTGCAGAACTTACATTTAGGTCCAAATGTACCTGACTGTATTTGCTTCTCTAAATACATGTTCCTTACATACCTATTTATCTTTGCTAAGAGAGCAAAGGCACACACAGCAGGAAAACAGACTTACTCCCAAGCTATGGCTGCCACCATCACTAGGTACATCAGATAATGAGCAGATCCATCCCAGTAGCAGATCATGTGCCCATAGGCAGTATTCAGATATGGTTCACCCTAAAGAAAACATTAAAAAGTTTATCCATTTTAAATACTCAGTTAAATGCTGAACCCCAGACCTATTTTGCAAGTAAAATAAAACAGCAGAACTACTTGGTATTAGTCTTCTAGAATGAAACTATTCCTACTCAATTGGTAGGAACTTGAAAATATAACTTTATCCTGTAGCTGCCAAAACTAGGGACTTCCACAAGAGTTTTTTTTAAAAAAAAAAGTTCTATGACAGATGAACATACATCAATACAAAGGCAGATGGCAGTGTGAGCCATCCTGGCTGCATGGCCAACTCACTGAAGCCAGAGGTACTTGACTATGGCCAGAGGGGTAGCCAAGACCCTGCTTACTGGCTGGCATTATCATACTGATCCCATGGCTGGCTGGGATGGTCATAGAGAGAGAAACTCATGCCCCTCTTACTTCCAGCGAGACAACACTGAACTCATAGCTTCCCACCAACCTTTCATTCAACCCTCCCATCAGCTCTATGGTATGGACACAACTAATTCCATTTCATAGGGGGGAAACAGGCTTTAAGAGGTTACAAGACTTACCTATAGTCATGAAGTAAGTATATAGCAGAAACTGTACTCCCAAGAAAACTCATACTTCTGAGAAATTTTTAATTTTAGGAATTTTACAAAGATGAGATTATATAATAAACCACATTTCCCTTGTCCAGGTGGCTACTACAATATCACTGTCAAATATGCCTGGTTTTTACTGTCTTTCTGCCTCCACTTTCTTTTTTTTTTCCTTTCTTCTCCCGTGTGCATCATGTGCATGTTCTCATGGCTTGTTTCATGTTTCCCTAATATACCTTAAGTCTTTAATTATTTTATTTATTATTTCTTCTTTTTTTTTTTTTTTGCAGTGCTGGGAATTGAACCCAGGATCTCACACAAGCCAGACAAGTGCTCTGCCACTGAGCCTTAATTCCATTCTACAATAAGAAAAGTGCAGATCAGTCAGTTAACCAAGCCAGGCATTCTCTCAAGCTTCACGCTTCCCTGGGACAAAGGAATGCTCTATTATCTTTCCCCACAAATCAAAATTGTATCAGAGGAGGAAACATCACCAAAATTATACTTCCACACCACTGCCTGGCCCACATCATTTCTCTCTGTATCATGCCCTGACTAGATAATTAATACCATTTCATTTCATGGTTTCAATCATTCACACCTACATACCTGGCTCCCAGAGACAGTGCAAGCCTATCCTGGTGGCTGGATGGACATCTTTAGCAGAATGGTTCATGAGCCCTTCAAATTCATTGGAACTCCTCCAATTCATCAGTTTCTCCCCTCAACCAGCACCCCACCTCACCTCTATGTTAACAGCAATGCCACTCAACTTCCCAGGTCAAAACAACAGGATCTCGATATTCATTCATTCATTCATTTATTCTCTCTCTCCCTCCCCCACCCCCATCTTTTCTTTTCCTAATTCCTTGCTCTCCTACAATCTTGGCAAATCCTATCAATTTTCTCTCTCTGGTGTCATCCCACGCAATCCTTTCTCTTAATTTCAGCCAAGTCAAGCCTCAGTGTCCCTTCCTGAACCACTGCTACATTTCCAAATGATCTCCCTGTCTCTCCCCTCCTTCTCAGCCAACACTGCTGTTGGATAAAGAGTCATGTAGCCTGACTCTTGGCATGTCACTCTGCTCTAAAACTGTTCAAAGCATGTTACTGCCTACAGGAAAAGCCCCATCCCCTCTATACAGCTTCCATGTTTCCAGAGTCTGGCCTATGACCTTACTACTATTCCATCCAAATTCCTCTTCTCATGCCCCATCTGCCCCAATGCTTACCACCCTCATCAGCTTGACCTCTAACCTTTTGGTCAGCCACCCTCCTCCTGAAGCCTTCCTCTTGTGGACTTAGTGGCCTGGCTCTCTGGGTTTCTCTTATGTCTCTTTCTACCTGTCACAATTCACTTCAGAGGCTCCTACTCTCCTGGCCCCAGTTTCCAAAGTTCTGACCTTAGCTGCCTTCTCTCCACATCTCCCAGATAAGTTCCTCTCTTTTCAGATCTGCTGGTACCAACTACATTTAGATAGCCCCCACATCTGCCAAGATGTCCCTCAAGCAACTGAAATCCCACATGTCCTCAATGAATTCAGCACCAACCCTGCAAACCTGTACCCAGGAGAAGACACATGGTATTTCTCTCTAAGTCTTTACCCAAGTAGTCCTTTCTCCTTGGAATGCCTTCCCATCTCTCTGGGCCATCCAAAAGTTTCTCATCCTCTCCCATGGACATTTTAAAAATAGGTATAACAATGTCACCAACTTGATAAGGCCTTCCCTGGCTATTTCCATGGTTAGGTCCTCTGTGCCTCAGATAAGCCTCTATCACTGCACCTAGGACAAGCCCCACCACCCAATGAGCCCCTGGACAGTAGGAAGCAGATCTTGTGACCCAAGTCTACTTCAACAGAAGCCTCTGATGTACTAACACCAGCATTCTTCCAAATTCTAAAGCAGGAACCAGGAAGTCATCATGGGCCTTACCCCCACTTCACCCACAACTTGTCACCAAGTCCTATTCATTCCAGCCAAATGCTCTGAAGTTTACCCCCTCCCTATTTCCCAGGTGCTGCCTTTGTTTGACCACCTTCATGTCTTGCTGCCTCAGAAGAAATCTTACTGGTGTTCCAGCTCATGACATTGACCCTTCCCCCATAATCCCATCCTTCCCAAAGCTGACTGCCTTCTTCCCTAATTTAAAATTTCACTTCATGAACAGGATAACACCCAAACCCCATTAGGTGGCATACAAAGCCCCCCATTATTTGAAACAGATGAAGACTATGCTTTTGGCCCTGCTTATTTCCTGTGTGACCTTGAGTTAGTCACTTACCCTCTCTGGGGCTGGATCTAGACCACCATAAAATAAAATAGGACTAGCTCCCTCAAGTGCCATGATTTGGTTGGATGTGGGGTAAATCATCATAATCAAATCACTTAAGTGCCTCAATGTTTGGTACCTTGCAAATTTGAGACCAGTTTGCACTTTCTGAGATTAATATATTAACAGACACACAAAAACTAAATTCATCTACAGTTCCTCTTTTAAAGGGAAAAGATAAATCATGTGGTAGGTCAGGAATGAGGGAAGAGTTATGAGAGCAGAATATCTGAATAAATTGCTTCCCAACTCCCATGATCTCAACTTATCCTTCAGCTTCACTTACCATGTGAGCAAAGCCTAAATCTATGATAGGAAATGATGCAGTGTATCAGATCTGATTACAGTAAATGAGAGGACTGAATGATGTGGCCCAGGTTGCTGACCATTTGGTTTAAGCCTCACAATCACTAAGCAATTCCGTACCTCTCGAAGGTAATGTGTCATGAACCCATCAATGATGCCATCTTGTTCCAGTCCTATGATGAGGTTCACCACGCTGGTAAATCCAAAAACTGCATACACTAGGTCAAAGAAAGCAGCAGTTTAAAAAGCAGTAGTGCAGAAAATAATTACTAAGAGCTTGGCATTTGCTAAGAATAAATGGAATGTTTCTGATGTTTTCCAGAAAATGCTGGGGACACTTGTCAACACAGACCAGCAGACCACACCTGTCTTTCACAATCTCCCCATGCCCGACCAAGAACTCTCACTGACAGAGCAAGAGTCATCGGGATGAAGAATGACAAAGCTACCACTGACTCATCCCACCTATGCAGCAGGAACAAAGGCAATAACGGAGTGGCTAAAGAAGAAACCAGTGACCACCAGATTTTTAAGATAATAACAGAAGAGGTGAATCATCTCAATGATTACCACACAGGCTAACTCATAGTGTGTCCCAGGTGTTTGCCTATTTCATAATGGCAATGCTAAGGAGATAGGTGGCTGATGTGCAAATAACAATATCTTTAAGAAAATAGGCCAGTGATTTCAAAAAATGAATACTTATGAGACAGTATAATTGAACATGAAAGGAGAGCTGTCATATTTTAGAGAATCTTATTAATAATGAGTTGTTATGAAACTCCCAAATGGGCTTAAAACTACAAGCAACAAATAAGCCAAGGAATAGTACTTCTTAAACAGTAGGAGACAAATGCAGCATGTTTTAGTCTGTCAAAAAAGCTGCCTCCCTCAATACTGGGGATGGAATCCAGGGGTGCTCTACCACCTAACATCATTTGCATTTTCAGACAGGGTCCCACTAAGTTGCACAGGCTGGCCTCCAACTTGCAAGCTGTAAAGAGCCAAGAACAGAGGGCAGAGAGTACAGGAGAATGGGGGAGATATCAGTAAGTTAAGTGTGGGCTCCATGGGGTGTGAATGGAGAGGAGACAGCAGCAAGAGTCTAGTCTGGGAAAGGAGGCTCTGGGAACAGATCAGAGCAAGTGGAGCAGTGCAAGGGAAAGGTCATGGACTTTGATATCAGACTGGCCTAGCTCATCTACCAACCAGCCATAAAACCTTAGGCAACTAACATAATTTCTCTAAGCTTCAGAGTTTTTTAAATATGAATTGGGGAAAATAAGTCACTCACAATTCTTCTGACCCACCTTTGCCAAGGCCTGCTGTGGACAGAGAATGCTCCCCATGCCTATGATGATGGGCTCAGCCATATGGCCTGCTTTGGCCAGCAGAATATAGATGGAAGTGACAGTAGTCACCTCCAAGTCAAGGCCTTAAGGGACATCACTTTCTTTCCACTAGCCCCTCTCAGCCTCCATATCTGCCATGAGGCTGGCACGGCCTGGGGAGCTACTGATCCAAGAACAAGGAGACACATGGAAAAACCCTGAATTCAACCCACAGCCTGAAGCATAGTGGCCCCAGCCAACTCACAGACATGTAAGCAAGGAAAAAAAAAAGGTTTGTTGTTGTATGACACTGATATTTGGGGAGTGTTTGATATCAGCATTACTGAAGCAGAAACTAAACAAATAAGAAGCCAAGCACAGGAAGCACTCAGAGGCCACTAACAGCTTTGCTTGAGACAGCATCCACAATGAAAGAGCCTGGGCTTTGGGGTCAGTGCAGTTCTCACTAGCCTATGTGACCTTGACCATATTTCAAACACCTCTGAGCTAGCATCTTCATTTGCAAGTGGAAGGATGTTTGTTGTAAGGATTAAATAAAATAATACTGCTACTGTGCTCTGAGCCTTCCCAGGTATGCTGTAGGTGCTCAATCAATAGCATTTTTGTTTATTTAACATGTGTATGTTTGTCAGGCATTGATCTAAGCACGTTACAAATATTACCTTATTTAATGTTTTACATACCCCCATGGTAGGTATTATTATTTTCTTTTTCATACAAATGTGCAGACTGAGGCACTGAATAGCTAAGTTCCACTCCAGGCAAAAGGGACTACAAGGACCAGGTTGAAGATAGGAAGGTCCAGCAAAGTGAGAGGTAGGAGCATGTTGAGGGGTCAGAGGGTAAAGAACAGAGGCAAGCCTGGCCCTGGCAGTATCTTTCTACCAGGGAGGCCATAGCTTATGGGAGAGGCCATAGCTTAAAGGCAAGGCCACACTGTCTGTCCTAAAACACCCTTGCACTTTAAGCCACTGTTACCAGTGGGCCCAGAGTTTTCACAACCAATGAAGAACATGTAACTTGAGAGCGAAGTATTATCATCAAGTGGACACAATGGAGACATACCATAGAACAGCGGGTCCCGGGGCGGTTTTCTTTTGACGAGAACACGAGACAACAGGGCTACCAGGAGCAGGATAAGGGCAGCAACCCCTACAATTGTCCAGGAACTGCAACAACCAGAACAGGGAGGTGGTCACTTATCAAAATAAACACAATTGTGCCTGGAATTTCCTGCCCATTGAATGCATTGCTCCCAGCACTACATAATTCATACATAATTCTGCCTCTGCCTACAGCTCAGGCCCTATGCAGTTTATTTGCCTCTGGGCCAAAGCCCTATGACTTTCAGGGAACACAGCCCATAGGCTCTCATCCTCCTTTCTTCCCACCTGTCTCACTTTCACAAGATGTATCTGGAGCTGCCTCTACCCTGTCCCTGAGATGGTTATTGCCCTGATTCCTATTCTTCCCACCCTTTCCCCTGGCATCTGACAGGCCTAACCACTAAATCAGCCACCTCCCTCAGGGCCAGCCAGAAATCCTCAGACCGAGCTCTAGGGAACATACAGGCATTATGACTACACACACATTTCAGGGGGACAAGGCATATTGTGCACTCCTTTGTGGCAGGTACTGCTGCAGTCCTGGGGGTACTGGATAAACACAAAAGAAGCCCTAATCTATGTGCAGGGACCCATCTCAATAGAATCTGAGTCATGTCCAACAAGGTCACCTCTAGTTCTAAGGAGACATTCTCCCTCCTGCATCCCCAGCACTGATAGTGCTTCCAGTTATAGATAAAGAACCACCTAGCCACTCCAATAGCCTGCTATACCAGAACCTTCTTAAAATCCCTTAGAGCTGCTACAAGCTCCACTCCTCAACTGATACCCCTCCACACCACCACAGCCCAACATTACAACCTTCGGATAACATTCACCATATGCCCCTGGGAAAGAGGAAGTGGATTATGAAGAGAGGTAAGAGGAATGGATGGATAGACTGAAGGATGAATAGATAACCAGTTTTATGAAAAGAAATGATGACTGTGCCAGTATGCACGTGAAAAACAAAACAGGAGGTTTCTGATGGTGCACATCAGTGGATACTCCAAGTTCCTCCAAAAGGTATGAGTTGAAGGAGGAGGAAGCTGATATGGGTCAAGAACATGATGCAGGATAGTGAAGAGGGAAAAGGCTGGTGTGCTATATAAGCTGCAAAGTGTTTTAACAATGAGCAGCCTGAGGCAGATGATTAGCAGACAACCCTCTTCCCTGATCTGACCAAGGCCCCAAACTCAATGCCTGCATAATCACATGGCTGGTGCTCTTTTGGAGAATGAGAAGCAATGTAACTGGTTCACAGCATCCTCTCATACTCTCCACCTCTAGAGGAGGAGGAAAGAATTAAGGAAACTGGAGCAGCAGATCATCTCTGCCTAGCAGCACTGTCCCCAAAGACCCTCTTCTGACAGCTAAGTGCAGTATCTGCTCAAAACAGGCAGAAACCGGTCCAAAAAGAACTCTGGGGGATGGATAAGGGCTGCAACTAACCCAAAGGTGAAAGGGTTGTTAGTCTTGAGGGTAGGATGGTCAATGACACCCATCTATGAATACATGTCTATAGAGAGGGGGCATGTATGGATGAGAATGAGCAAAGTGTGTGTGTGAGAGAAAGAGAGAGACCCCAATTCTTTCCTGAACCTTAACTATTTCCTTTTTCTATTTCTCAGACTTTCATTCCCACCAGAAATGAAGGAAGCTCAAGTTAACGAAGTCAAGCATCACTGTAAAGCTCCTGTGCACAAGACGCTGAGCTGGGCAGGACAACACTAAGGTGAACTGTACCCTGGGAAGGTAAACTCTGACCACAAAAAGAAACACTTAAGGGAAAGGTGCAGTTAAGGGACCAGATGGGCTCAAAGCAGAGAAAAATCTTTCACTTGGAAGAAGGGTCTACTACAAAAGGAAGCAGAATCTTACTCTGGGTCACAGAGCCCAGGTGTGCTTCAACATTCAACAATAGGGAGGAAAGAGAGGGTACAGTGTGAGCAGAGGCAAGGTATAAGGGCGTTCAAGGGGCAAAGACAGTCTGGTGAGGCTGAAGCACTATCTAGGTGAGCTGGAGGTGAATGCTGAGCCTCAGAGATATACAGAGGACTGTGGGGGAGGGGAGGATGCCTTTGCCACAGGCCAGTAATAGACGGCCAGCCCCAAGGAGAACTGAAAGGAGGGAATGAACACTAGACTAGCCCTGAACTTGTGGGGAAGGAGATAGAAGAAAGGGATTGGAGAAAGAAGAGCCAGAGGTCAAAGGCCATGGGATTTTAACCTGCAAGAAAAGAAGGATAGTTGGAACTTATTATTGAAAACACTGTAGGACTTAACAATGTGATCAATAATGCACAGTGGTATATAATTCAGTCTGTATTCAGTAAGTGCCATTTCCATTTTCCCTGTAGCTGAGACCCAAAACTCAGGGTCGTCCTCAAATCCTCTTCACTTCTATGCAATCCTTCTGCAGCAGGCAGCTCTCCCTCTGAATTTCCACCACACCCATTCACTTCCTTTCCCAACTTTGCTCATTGTTCCCCTGCCTGCAAGGATTTATCCCCACATCTTGCTGTAGCTAAAGTGTCACCTTCTCCAAGAAGCCTTCCCTAACCACCAGCCCCCTGTTAACCATCCTAGTTTATTGTCATGATAGCATGTTACTGTTTATGTATTTGTTGATGTCTCTTTCAATACATGCTACCCAACTTTTTCTTGCCTATTCATAGCTATGTCCCCAGCACAAAGCACACAGGTATTCACTGCACTGGAACTGTCCATAGGCTATTTCAGAAGCACAGGGTCCCTGTGTACTATATGGATAGGCACATAACCCAGAGCTGCTTCTTCCAGAAGATGCCTTGGGTCAGATCAAGGGCAGACACCACCAGTGCTCAATGAGTGAGTGCTCCATTCTGGTGCTATCTGGATAAGGTGACCACAGAAGGCAGAAAGAAGTCACTACCCTAATGTGCAGACATTTGTCTGCTACTTGGAAGTCAGGAGGGGGTTCGAAGGGTACAGACTGATGCAATTTCCTTAGCACCAACTGCTGTGAGAAACAGAGCAGGTTACTTCCTCCTCCCCCCCTCCCCACAGCAACCAAAATCATCAGGCTGGCTTCTTTCCATTGCCCTCCCAGGCCTTCAGCTGCCCATGGGGGAAGGTGTTGGTTAGTCAGTAATCCCTTCAGAGAAGTGGGAGGCAGAGCTTTGATCCAAAGCTTGTGCTGCCTCCTTCAGTCCCACCCATATCCTTAGCATTGATGTGCCCTGCCTCTACTCCCCGCCCTCATCTTATCTTCCATTCATAATGCCCCTTCACAGTTCTCACTGGATCTCAACAGGATGCAAATTTAGTCCATTTGACAGACCAGAGTACTGAGGCCAGGCTACCCCATTAGTGGCAAGGCCAGTCCTAGAACTAGGGCTATTTCTGCTAGTCATTTACAACAGCTTCTAAAATTAAGAAATGGTAAGTATGTGAAAGTCCTTACATGGAAACATTTTTGTGAAATGGGAACGTAATAAGACACACGCAAGATACCATGGCCAAGCTCGTAGTTTCCGTGTTTGTTCTGCTGACCACTGGCCCTGAGCTCCTTAAGGGCAGGAGAATTGCCCAACTGACCTCTATAACCCCGGCACGTTGTGACACAGAGCGGGCGCCCAGCACTTGGTCCCTAATTGCACAGGTCTGGGCAAAGGCCCCGCCATTGCGATCCTCGGGGGTTTCTCCCGCTCTACCCCGGAGGGCAGAACCCCTGGGGCGGGCGCAACTCTGCCCAGCAGCCTGCGGTCCAAGACCCATTCGAAAAGTTGCCGAGTCTCCCGCGTAAGGACCTGACTCTCGCCGCCCCCCGACGCGCCCCCAGCCGCGTCCGCTCACTTACTCCTGGTGGGCCGCCAGGTGGTTGAAGATGTAGGTGACCGGGATGGCTGAGAGGGACAGCACGAACACCCCGGTGGCCGCAGAGGCACTCATCGCCGCCGCCGAGCCGCTCGCCCTTCACCGCATCCCTCCAGGCGCCCCGCCCCGGCTTCCGGCGGCGCCCGCGCCCCTCGGCGTCGGCCCTTGCAGACGCCCGCCCCGCGCCAGGCACCGCGCCCTGCCGCACCGCACCCTCAGCGGTCCCCTCCGCGGACCTGCAGTGTACCAGGCGCCCAGAAGCTCCGGCCGGGATGTGCTGGGCTGCGGCGCAGTCTGGGGAGGCGTCTTCGCTATGCTCCTGCCAGGGCTCAGCGGCTAGTGGGACCGCGTTGAGGGCAGCGACACCCGCCGCCGGGGACAGGTGACCCTGGTGGGGCCACTGACTCTGCGAGAAGGCAGCGGACCGGGCTAGGGGCGCTTTCCCCAGCCCTGGGCACAGCGGGAGCTGGTCATCTACGAGTTGGAGAGACGCTGGACTGAGCTGGGGGCCAGCGGTGGGTGGAGCCAGGCCCCAGGGTGTCAGAGAGGGCAGGGCTCGCAAGATAGTCCACGGGGAAGCCCACGGCCCAGAGACCAGGAGGTGCAAATACTCTGGAATCGTGGAACTACTCTGCCCAACAGCTTTCAGCCGGCCACAAGCACAGCTCCTGTGCAGAGTGGAATCTCTGCTTTAAATCCTGGATGCCCACTCATCAGCTGTTGACCTTTATCAAGTTACTTAACCTCTCTGTGTCTTTTTCCTGTCTGTGAAATGTTGATAACCTGCTCCATGGTGTGATTTTTGGAATAACGGAGTTAAATGTGTAAAGTGTTTACCCAGCACTCCTCAGCGTGCTCCCTTCTCCTGCAATCCCCCTGCCCCCAACCACCACCACTTTTTTTTTCTTTTTTAATTAAAATTGACCCTGTAAAAAATGTCAAGACTTAAGAGACTAGAGCAACATATATCTAGTAAATGTCCCTGGAAACCAGATTAGGACCAACTAGCCTTCACTAGGCCCTGCATGGTATAAAGACTGGAAGACAAAGTCTCTCCTCAGTTACTGATTAAGGGGAATAATGAATACTTTTGTTCTGACTGACTGCTTTCTGCAGATGATGGTAGGTCAGAAAGCCTCCAGGGGCTAACCCTGGATTGGCCCAAGGCTGGGGAAGGGTTAAGAACCAAGTTTTAGAGGGAGAACATCTCAACCATGGAAGGATATAATGGCAGGTCTTATGTCCTTAAAATTGATAGAGAACTCAAGAAGCCATTTGGCTCATTTTAGACATGAGGAAAATGAGTCACAAAGACGTTATGACCTACTCCAGGGCTATTCAACTTTTCAAAAGCCAGCTCTCCTCTTCCCCTGACTTAGCTCTTTTTAAAGTCTTCTCCAGCCCTGAGCACATAATGATATAATCATGGCCCAAACTGTGACATATCCACATTTTCTTCAAGAGATATCCTTACCTGTAACCTGGACATCACCTTCAGTGAATGATGTTTTTAGATCATCATTGTCTAATGAAAATATACACCATAACTGTGAACCCCATGTATACTTTAAATTCTCTAATAGCCACATTAAAAAGATAAAAAGAATCAGATGGAATTCCATTTTAGTAATATATTTTATTTTGCTCAATGTATCCGAAAAGATCATTTCAACAAGTCATCAATATGAAATATATTGAGACTAATGAGACTTTTTTCATTCTATGTCTTTGAACTCCTTGGTGTGTTTGACACAGCACATCTCAGTTCAGACTAGCCACATTTCAAGTACTCAACCAAGTGGCTAGTGGCTTCTTGATTAGACATTGCAGTTCTGGATGTCCTCCTAACATATTGACCTGACTTTAATCATGCTCTCTGCTACACTATAAGGATAAGTGTGAGGGATGGGGTTGTGGCTCAGTGATAGAGCATTTGCCTCACATGTGTAAGGCACTGGGTTCAATATTCGGCACCACATATAAATAAATGAATAAAATAAAGGTCCATCAATAACTAAAAAAGTTTAAAAAAAATGAATGCAAGCTGGGCAAGGTGGTGCTCACCTGTAATCCCAGCAACTCAGGAAGCTGAGGCAAGTAGATCACAAGTTCACAGACAGTCTCAGCAATTTAGTGAAGCCCTAAGCAACTTAGACTCTGTCTCAAAACAAAAAAGGGCCTGGGATGTGGCTCAGTGGTAAGGGGCCCCTGTGTTCAATCCCCAGTACAAAAAAAGTGGGAGTGATAAAAATCACTAATCAATTTATTTGTTCAACAGACATCTTCTGGGAGTCTATCCTGTTTCCACTATTCTAAGAGGACACACAAAGATGAGTTACAAATTGCCTAAGAAAATAACAGTCTAGTGTGAGAGAAAGACATGAGAATATTCGCCATACAATAAAATAAAAGACAGGTACAGATTACTATAGGAATTAACCAATTCTGTCTGGATGAGCCCTGAAAAGCTTCAAAGAAGAGATGAGACTTTTTTAAACCAGACTTGAAGAATAAGCAGAAGCTGGCCAAGTAGATGAGGAAGAGATGAGTTTTCCAGACAATGGAGACAGCACATGTTAAGGGCAGAAAAAATGTTCAAGAGAGCAAATCATATCATGAACTGCAAGTAGTTTGGTCTGTTTGGAAATACTGACATATAGGATGGGAAGGGACAGGAGGTGAGGATGGAGAGGCGATTAGGAGCTCCATCTCAGAGAACTTTAAGTTTAGGAAACCATTTTAGATTTTCTAAGAGGGACGAGGGGCTGATCTTTTAAGTTCTGCCTTTAAAGCAGCTGGTATGAACCATGGCCTACAAGGAAGAAAGACAAGAAGCAGGAAAAAAAAATTAGGAAGCCACTACACTATTATATCTTGTTCTTGGAAGATATAATAGGACCTAAACCAAAGCAATGGCAATGAGTAAGAAGAGAGGAGACAGATGTGAAATATCTGAAAGGAACTGGAAAAAATTGGGAAGAAGACATTAGAGATGAGTTTGGTTTTGAACATGTTGAATTTTCAGGATCCATGGAGCTTCCAAGGAGAAGCTGTCCCATAGGCAATTGGGGGAGTGTTAGTTTGTGGCGCCAAGAGAGGCATAGGCTACAGATACAGGTTTGGGGATCAACATCTACCCATTTCTTTGATTTGATTTAAAGAAATAGATCAAAGAGAATGAACAAGAGTCATTTGAGAGGAGTTGGTGAGAATTGCCACCAGTAAAGTAGCCCCTCGGTATCTGATAGAAACATCCAACATCCCAGCACTTGGAGTTGCTCCCTAAGAGCCTATTAGGGTCCCAAATTTTTCATATATTGTGATATACATATTGAAAATTATGAGACTTTTGTTTTGGATGGCTTCTCTTAGTGCTAAAAATATGAGTGGCCAGAATCCTTGTAGTTATTGAGAAAAGTGTTTCATAGGAATGTTCCTTGGGTTTGTGGATAGGTCAGTGAATATAAACTCCTTCTATAACAGTATAGTACACTATAGATTAAAAAGCAATTCCATTGACATTATCTCCTATAATCCTCACAACACCTGAGGAATACTGACCCCTTAATGAATGAAGAAATTGGTGCTCAAAGAAGTTGACTAAGGGGCTGGGGCTGAGGCTCAAAGGTCGAGCGCTTGCCTAGCATGTGCGAGGCCCTGGGTTCAAGCCTCAGCACCACATTAAAATAAATAAATAAAATAAAGGTATCACATCCAACTACAACTAAAAAAAAATAAAAAATATTTTTTAAAAAAGAAGTTGACTGACTTGCTCAAGGACAAAGAGCTAAGGAAAAAAAAAAAAAAGGAATACTTGAATCCAAGTCTCCTGACTTGGAATCACTTGTACTCATGGTACCACTGTGACCAGCAACTGCTGTGCTTGGCACCTTAGGAAATGGCAGGTAGGGGCTGGGGATGTGACTTTGTTGTGGAGTGATTGCCTTGCACGCACAAGACCATGGGTTCACGTCTTAGATTTGCCTAGTTGACTCATTGCTCAGGAGGTCTGGAGGTCTGCTTATATATGGTTTTTTATAAAGACATTCAGACAATGAAGATGTTTGGTTTTTGATTTTTTTGTGTGTGTGCACAGCAATCTCACATGCCATTGAGTCTAATATTATAACATAAACAATCATCAAATTTAACTCCAAGCAAAATCAGAAACATAGGAAGCTGTATACTGCCCACCACCATTTTTGTAGCATCAATTCAAAATAATTGATTAGTGAGGAATTAAATTATAAAGAACCCCCTCACACTGTGCCTGTTTCTGCCATGGAGGGAAAGTGAAAGCAGAACTTTGAAGAACTTGGTCACATGAGAAATAGGAACTAACAAAGTGTGTTGCTGGGTATGGACAAAGTAGCTCAGATGCGTGGTCTTCTGGAAAATAAATGTCAGCCCACTTTGTCCTCTTTAATACCCTCAGCCCTGGGGCCTTCTCTCTCTTCCTCTCTTCACATGATTCATTTCTACTTTTTATCCTTCTGATAGAAGTTCTGTGTTCATATGAAAGCCCACATGTTATGGATGAATGTTCTAGAGGCAATCAGACTGTTCTAAGGGGGTATATAGGGACAAAACAAATGACCTGAGAGTGACCAGGTCAAGGATGACTGATGGTATGTCACTAGTATCATGTCTGGAGAAGAGAGCAGGGAAGGGCCAGCCCACTCCACCAAAAATAATAATAATAATGCTACTGGAAGAATCTCTCTATGCATGGGTCTTCCTGACTCTTTTCATTAACCATGAATGGGCTGCAATTATTTTTTTAAAACATTTTTAGTTGTCAATGGACCTTTATTTTGTTTATTTTTTTATGTGGTGCTGAGAATCAAACCAGTGCCTCACACATGCTAGGCAAGCACTCTGCCACTGAGCCACAACCCCAGCCTGTGCTGCAATCATAAACATAGATTTTATGCTGGGGGCGGGGCGCGGGGGGGTGCAGGGGGGGTAAATGTACTATGTGTGCAGCTCCAACACAATGCAGGCACAGAAGATATGTGCATTAATATTAACTGCAGGGGGGAAAATGAGAGAGGAGGAAACCAAGTAGAAGGAGAAAGGAGGGAAAGAAAAATAAGGAGGGGGAAGAAAGGAGTGCTATAGGAAAAAAGTAATAAGAGAATAAAAAAAAAGAAAAAGTAAAGTTAATGAGTAAAATGTTTTTCAAAGGTCCTGTGCAGTTGCCAGAGGAGGTCTGCAATTTTGTCCTGAGTTACCTAGCAACCAAAGCTAGAAGGAAAACATAATCAGTTATAGCATTTATAGTGTCCATAAGATTAAAAACAGAGCAGTTGCTTGGAAAAACTCTCCTCTGGCTCCTCTTAAAGGGAACACCGTATCATAAAGTCTTTCCTCAGCAACATTCCTTCATAAATATAGAATTAAATTCTGAACAGTTGTCCTCCAGTACATCTTCAATGCAGGTGACTGGCATATTGCCAAATGCCACTCAGTACACTCACATCCTCAAAATAGTTTCATGGAGAAAAGAACTCCCTGAAGATTTGGCTTTGTTCAGTGATTTTATAAGATCTGGACAGGAATGGAAGATACCTTCTGAGCACTCATACCATCACTTCCAGTCCAAGCCCAAGGCAGCATCATCAAGTGATTCTGGCTTTCTCCTGTTGAGGCATCATCTCCTAGTCCTTCCCCACAGGGAACACTAAAAATTTTCTTTTCACATGCCAACTTAAACCTATCTGACCATCTGATAAAAGGGAATTGATGAATATCCTTCAAGCAATGCTCTATGAATATTATTTCATGTTAGAAAGTTTCAACACAAATGAGATAATAGAGAATTTGAGGTTATGACAGATGACAAGAAAGAAGAAATGTTCTATGTTGATAAGTAAGGACAGACATTATAATGTGAGAAGTAGACAGATGGGAGAATAATTTCACATTCTGTATGAAAAGTGTGAGCTGGGACAAGGATTAAATCAAAATCCAAGGTTGCCATAATGTTCAAATTGCCTCTGAGGCATACAAAAAAGAGGATTTCATATATTCAGATGAATTAGACAGAAAAATTAGAGGACAGAGTGAGGGCTTCCTACACACACACACACACACACACACACACTTTCTCTCTACCCACCCCTTCTCTTCAAGAACAAACAATATGACAATTGAAAAAGAAAAGGGTACTCTTAGTTGATCAAAAAGTTTGAAGGATATCCAGAATATTGTGATAACTATTTTACTTTGGTAAGCCCAAATCACTTGACTTTAGACTTGGCATATAACTTGTTTTTTTTACCAATGAGATATTACCAAATTTAAACAGAAACTTATAAGAGTTTGTGCATTTGGGTTTGTTCTCTTGGAATGCTCCTGCTGTGAAGAAGCTCAAGCAGCCATGTAGAGAAACCAATATGGAGAACAGCTTCACTGACAGCCTCAGTGAAGTTCTCAGCTATTCACTAGCATCAATAATCAACCATAAAGGGAGGTTATTTTGAACCTCCCAGAAATCCCAACACTTAACACCACATGAAGCAAAAAAACTTCCTGGTGTCACACCCTTGTAATCCTAGAGACTAGGGTAGCTGAAGATCATAAGCTTGAAGTCAGCCTGGGCAATTT